CAGCATCAGGATTCGGATGTGCTAGATTGGCTGCGTGGGACAAACCTTCCTTGCATGCTTCAAATGCTTCCGACATCTCCTTCGTCATGTCAATCTCCTGTGAGGCCTTCTTCTTAGGTCCGCTAAGTACTAGGTTCAGCGGTGATTGTAGAGCTGATGCACCTGGTACGAATCTGCGGTAAAAGTTGAACATCCCCAGAAACCTTCGGAGCTCCTTCACTGTCTTGGGGATGGGATATTCCAAAATGGCCTGCACCTTTGACGGTAATGGTCGAATGCCTTCAGATGATACTTCATGCCCAAGGAAAGTGATGGTCGATACTCCGAATTCACATTTAGCGGCGTTGATTAGTATTCCGTAGTCTGTTAATCGTTGGAATAACTCACAGACATGTTGCTGGTGTTCTTCTTCAGTTGCGGAAAAGATCAGGATGTCGTCCAGGTAGCCGTAACAGTTGTCCATGCCTCTGAGTGCTTCGTCTATAAAGCGCTGGAACGTCTGTGCCGCGTTCCGGAGTCCATACATCATGTATGGGAACTGAAACAGTCCGAACGGTGTTATAATAGCTGTCTTGGGTATATCAGCTGAGTGGACCGGAATCTGGTTATATGCTTTGACCAGATCCACTTTGGAGAAAACTTTACTCCCAGATAATTGTTGAGCAAAGTCCTGTATATGCCGAATAGGGTATTTATCTGGGATAGTACGGGCGTTTAAAGCGCGGTAATCACCGCATGGTCGCCAGCCGTCATCCTTTTTAGGAACTAAATGAAGCGGAGACGACCATGAGCTCTCGGACCTGGATGCTGTGCCGTTCCGCAGCATAGCCTCAAACTCCTTCTGTGCGATCTTGAGACGATCTGGTGGCAGGCGTCGAGGTCTACTAGATACGGGCGGTCCAGGCGTGGTGCGGATATGGTGCATAGTATTATGCTTGACTTCCGTAGGTGTGCCTGAAGGGCGAGTGATATGTGGGTAGTTGCGTAATATTTCTAAATACCTGGAGTCCCCAATTGTCACCTTCACCGAAGATATAGCCTCTATACCAGGTTGGGCTGGCACATTAACGGTGAGCGAGGTGTGGTTGTCAATCAGGCGCTGGTTTCTGCAATCAACTAGTATATTATAGTGTGATAGAAAGTCAACGCCTATGATCGCTCTTGCCACGTCAGCAACCACGAAGTTCCAGGTGAACGCTCGGCGTAAACCCAGATTAAGCTCCAAGCGAACCGAGCCGTAAGTGTTTTGTATTGTCCCATTTGCTGCAAACAATTCATAATTAGTCTTCGTACGGTGCCCTCTAAGCGCTGTGCGCGGATACACGCACAAATCTGATCCTGTGTCAACTAGGAAAAGTACCTTAGAAGTGTTGTCCACTACGAAGAGGCGGCCCGGTTTTGATTGGCAGTCGTAGGCCGCTAGTTCCGGCTGCCGTTGAAGTTTTCCGCCTTAGGGTGGCTGCAAGGCCTGGTGCAGCGGCTTGCTTTGTCACCAAATCTGTTGTGATACCAGCATATTGTTGTATCCCTCGGCTTGGATGACGATCGATCTCGACGACGGAAGGGTGTTCTGCTTCTTCTACGACTACCACCGTCTCTGCTGTGTGATCTTGATGGCTGCGCGTGGTACTGGACTTTTAGTGAAGCTATTTCTCGTGTTAATTCTGCCATTTGCTTTGCCATCTCCGTAATGTAGCTTCTACAACCTAACGCACAAACCTGAGGTGCCTGTGGTACTATGTCATGTACCTTGTCCGCTAGGTCGGCCAACTCATTCAACGTGGCACTAGGTTGCGACGCGATAACGGTCTGTAAACTGGTAGGTAACCGGCTGGTCCACACTGTTTTCAAAAATTCTTCCGTCACAGTTTTACCGGCTAGCGTCCTCAAATGTCGCAAAAATTGTGATGGTTTCCTCTCACCTAGTTCCTCGTGTTTCAGCAGTTGCAACAGCTTTTTTTCTTGCGAAGCTGACAATCTCACTATAAGCTCGTTTTTCAGTTCTAAATATTTATTTTCCGCTGGAGGATTATTAATAATTTCTTTTACTATCACAGCATATTGATGTTCCAATTGCCCAATTACATAATTAAACTTTGTTGAGTCACTCGTGATTCCAGACAAGGAAAATTGTGCCTCCATTTGCGAGAACCATAAGGCGGGTTCCTCTGGCCAAAATGGCGGCGCGCGTACAGAAACTTTAAACACTGAACCGTTATCGATGTTGTCGGTTTCGATGCCTGTAGGTCTGCCGCTTATTACTTTACCGGATCTATTTGCTTCCATTGTGTTTTGCGTTGTTCACTCGTAAATAACAGTCGATATTGTCCAACGTCGGGGTCACCAGTATAGTGTGGTAAGCGGGCGTGGCAAATAACAACTACGTAAATAAGTCCACACTATGTATTTAAAGTTCAAACAGAGCACAAGCGAAGTACAGACGTGAGCACAAGAGAAATAGAAAGTTAGAATAGAGGCAAGAAACAAAGGAAAGGCGATAAAAACATAAAAACAATAAGCTGTGTATAAGCACTCGCGTAACTATATCGTAAGGAAGCTGAGACATGCATTCGCCGTCGCGGACGTGATGGCACTGTTGGCCGCCGGCCGGCGCCGGCGCTTGCCTTCTCGCTGCTTCGAGTATGTCCTCTCTTTCCTACGCCGCGCCCTTTGTTGACCGCGCGCGCGGCGTAGGAAATTTCCATATATGGTCTCCTCATCTATTTATTTTTTTATAAAACTTGTTACATATCAGATAAATATAGAAAATGTAACTTTTGCACAACTAGAAAATACTGAACTTTATCCTCAGACATGATCTGCAATTATCGAATATATTTTTATATTTTTTTTTTTTTTTATTTCTTTACTATTTAGCTTTGCATCACCTATGCCCTATTGGATACGAAAAACTACAGTTTAGATTTTTAGTATCTACTTATATGATATTGAAACTACATAGGATTAAACGAATATACATAAGGAATTGCCACATATGTTTTGATGTCATGATAGAGAAGTGATATTTATTGCAGCTCTATAAATTACTTAAATGAAAGTGAAAAATATTTCTAGCTCACATTAAAATTTGCAGAAAATATCAGAATATTAATAATTTGTTTTTATATCAAAATCAAATAATTTAACGCAATGCCCTCACGCTCACGGTAAATTTCGTCTCGCAGAAATACAACGAAAGCATACCTCAAATAGTATGACGCGAAATTCGTTAACCGCGAAATTGACTCGAAATTGCACGCGACATAAACGGCGTTATTAACACGGGGTATTTTCGCGGGGCCTAAATCGACAGTTAGACCTTATTGATCCCCACCAGTTCGGTTGTAATTTTACGAAATTACAGTTTATGGCTGTATGGTATTATTCACATTTTATTTTTTTTCGGATGATATATGTACGTCGTGATGAGACCGACGGCTAAACTCTTTTAGTTTACAAGAAAGTTAATATGTCTTCGTAAAGTTAGAGGACAGTACCAAAAATCTTTGCACCGGTTACAATGTTATACGATACTCCTATTGAAAGAAGAGGCGTGAAAAAATGGTTTTTCGTTGCCCACGTAATTTGTCTGTTGACTTTTGCCCTTTTGATCACCTGGATTTTAAATGATGTAGCTATTTGAAATTGAGAACGCTCCGTTTCTTTATCGGCGCCAAGTAGCCACCATCTTGTTTATTTCGAGACATCAAAATAGCTATAAGACTGTTAGAACGCTATTAGTTGCTTTCACCTTTCATATTTTATTGTTCTTTTCCGTTCTACTTAATTTGACTTTCAATTAATCAGAATAACATTTAAAAAGGATAACGGAAGTTGATTAAAAAGACTGATTCCGATTTAAATCGATTAGATTTTTTAATTATAATATTGTAAATAGCTAAACATAGATGATTCTCTATTAATGTTTGTAAATTAATATTATGTTCCGATAGCAAAATAGTATTTAGTTTATTATTTATGGTTTGAATCCGTCAAGCGCGGCGCCCACCATCTGTTACTTTAGGATCAATTAAGCCTTTGTGAGGAGAAACTTATACAAACGAGTTATATCAAACAGAATTATTGTTATAACTATTTATGGACTGCATAGAGTATATGAATTGTGCATAATAATTATGTACAATGAGACATAGGTACCCAAAGTTATGAATTAAAAGTTTTTACTGTAGTAAAGCTACGCACCGGTTTTACCTGTTAAACGAAAGAGAGCGGAAATATTTATACTTTATTATAATGGTGGATGTGGTTTTAGAGACTGGTGTCTATAAAAACCACTTAATAATTAGGTAACGCAATTGGTAGTTTACCAACAATTCTATAAAAAATCTCTTAAAAATTATGTGAAGCAGTAGGTATCTATCTAGTTGGCCGCCTATTTTTAAAAGGAGAAATATGAGAATATATTTTATTGAAATTTTTCAATGCAGGGTCCCTTTCTGTACAGAATTTTCGTATCTTGTACACAATCTTAGTACATTGTAATTATAATGACCTTATTGTACAACAAAGTACAGTAACAGCCTATAGTGTCCCACTGCTGGGCAAAGGCCTCCTCTGTCCAGACGGTATCAAGGCATAGTTCACCACGCGGCCCCACTGCGAATTGGCGGACTTCACATACATTATCTTCGAAATAAATTTTTTAGTTATTATTTCGAAAATATGCAGGTTTCCTCACGATGTTTTCCTTCACCGCAGAGCACGTGATAATTCGGCACCGGGGATCGAACTCAGTTTGATCGAGTATATTGAATTAAAGGCGAGCGCCCGGCCACTGAGCTATCACGGCTATACAACAACCAACTATCATTATCGTAAAACAAGTCTAGTTACGATTTAAATGATATGATGATAACCAATCCGAAAGCGAAAACCAATCTTTTAAAACTGTTAAATAAAAGTAAACATATAAAAAGCCTTAAGGACAACTAAATTATTTTTTTAAAAACCGCTAAGCAATGAATAAACCTTATTTCCAGGCCACGATAGACCGTCCGGGTAACATACCGGTGGTTATAGCGTTCCCCACAACGCTGTACCAAACGCAGAAGGACTGCCAGCGGGAGCTGACGCTACCGCTGGGCACGGTGGTCAACGCCGTGTTCAAGAACCAGCAGTGGGTATACGCGCAAACTCCGCATGGCCATCAGGGCTACGTGCTGTACAGCGCTTGCTTGCCTCTAGGGATACTGCCGAACAGGTGAGCTACGCTATCTTCGAAGTAGCTGATATTTGTGTTTTTTTACATTTAGGTAAAACATTGTATTAGGGGCCGCATTGTATGAGAGGCCTTTGGACGGGGGCAGACTGATTTGAAATCTAATGGAACTGAGAAATTCCTGGTATTTAAAAATACGTGGTAATGTTTTTGGTTGCTAATTAGGAAAATAAATATGATTAGACCTTGGGTTATTATTTTACTGTGATTTTTGTATTTGTAGTTTAGGTACCTTTAAAGGTTAAAATGAAAATATAATACGAAAATGTACGTTTAATGCATCTCGTAGTGAGCTATTTAACCGTTATATTCGATACAGAATGGAAACCCATATGATGCCCAAATGTTAGTACGTACTGAAGCCGCGGCTATTTTTTATCTTTTTATCCTTTTAACCCTTTTTTTTTCCAATTAAAAAATATGTGCCTTCTTTGTCTCTTTGTTTGTTTGTTTCTAAAATTGTATTTATTTTATCGAATTTCTCTCATCAATATATTGTAAAAATATATCGTTGAACCGAAATATTTTTTGTTCGTTTTTCTGTTCTTTTCTCTTTGTTTTTATGTAATTAAAATATGTAATAATCTTTACTTTTTTTTATTTTATATTCTAATATTTATTATAAATAAAGTTTCGTAAATTATTATGTGCGGGCCGCCAAAAAATTTGAAATACAAATTGGCCCATTGATTAAAAACATTGCTCACCCCTGCTCTAGACTACCTGTGTACCAAATTTTATTTAAATCGGTTTAGTAGCATGAAAGCGAGACACACAGACAGAGTTACTTCCGCATTTATAATATTAGTGCGGATTTCTTTTACATTTTCAGGACTTCCGTCCAGAAGAAGACCCCATGCTGGGAGAGCAGCACCGACATATACCCGCGCCCGTGCGGCAACCTAACGGACACGGAGAAAGAGAAACTGCGCGGTCGCACGCGTTCAGAGACACGCGGCCGAACGCGCACCGCAAAAACCCCGAAGGCGTCGTGCGCGGAAAAGGAGTTTGACTCGCTTTACCTAAAAACTAAATCATTCTGCTCCAATATTGACAGGCTGCACGAGAAGGAGAACGTACAGATTAAAAACGGAGTGAGGAGGCAAACGTTGCTAGTTGTCAACAGTGATTATGGCGGGAGCGTGTTGAATAAAACATTATCTGTGAGCAGAGGCGATGTCGTGACTTTAGTTCAAGGTGTTAGCGGGGAAACCGACGTGGATTCCGAATGGTTTTACGTGAGGAAAAAAGATGGCAGCCAAGGTTTTATACCGGCTGTGGTGGCCGGGCACGGCTATATCTGATTGCGTGTAATACAATAACTGTCACTTTTGTGTAACTGTGAGTCATTCCAGAAATTTAAAATTATTAACCCTTACTCGTTAAAAATTGTGACATAGTTTTTGAAGACCCGAAGTAGCGTATATACAATTTTAACCGACCAAATACAAGCTGGATAGAATCCGTAAAAATGTCTAACAATAATTTAAGATTACCTTCAGCGCCAATTTACCTTTATGTTCACTTTCTGTCAGAATAATCATTAACCGGTTTCTACCTAAAAGTTACATGTTCTTATCCTTTTCCTATTCTTGGGAAAAAAGTATGTATGTACAAAGTTAATGAAAGATCACGTCATTAGTAGAAAAAAAAGTTCTTCCGCCTCTCGCTAGACAGTTTTAGGGCCACGTAGCAGAGGCCCCTGCTAAAACTGTCGCCTTTCCGACGAGATCATATAAAACAAACCCAAATAGTGTATAGTTTTTGTTTCTATATTTGTTTTCTACTTATCATTTCTAGAACATTGTACAACTTGAGATTGAATAACATTGTACTCTACTTATTATTGTTCATTAGTAAATAAAACTTACTACCACAAGGTTTTCAAATGCTGCAACCAGTATACTCATATCACTATTTAATTATTTTTTCCTTTAGAATTACGCACTGGCAGCGGAATCCGTTTTTTACCCCAAGTCAGCACATGCAATAGTATTAGTTAATTGCTATTTTAAGTACGGATTGTGAGCCAAAAATGTTCAACTTGTATGGACAATGCGTAATGAGAATAGCACTCGAGGGCTGGGAAGGTGGCATTGTTGTAGGTGGGCGTAAAATAAAAAACTTGAGATATGCAGATGACACGACCGTAATTGCATCTAGTGAAGAGGAGTCCGGTGCCTTGTCCTTGCAAGGATAGAAAGAGAAAGCGTTCGACTCGGCCTCAATATCAACGTAACACATCTAAAATAATGTTGGTAGATCGGGAACACAAAGATCACCCTTCAGTAGCCCGCCAAGACTAAGAAACAATTCGTTTACCTTGGTTCCCTCATTACGAAGGAGGACGGTTGTACTAATGAGCTAGACCACTGTATTGGAATGTCTAAAATCGCAATGTCAAGCCTCGAGAAAATTTGGAGGAACAATACTATATACGTCTACCAAAATACGTCTAGTGCATTTTTTTTTTTTTTTTTAATCAAAAAACATTGCCCTTACTTTGGGATAACATTATCCTGTGTTGTAAGGACGTTTTTACAAACATAAATTTCACGCGGACAAACACCCAGATGCGGAACAACTATCTGTGGGTCACACAAATAGTTGTCCCGTGTGAGAATCCAACCCACTACCCCCGACGCCGAAGCCGACACCTTGGCGACTGCGCCACGGAGTCAACAGTATTTTTCTATACGGATCTGAAACCTGGTGCCTCAAAAGTCGAGATATAAGCAAAATAAGTTCTTTAGAAATGCAGTATTGGAGACGAATGCTAAAGATATCATGGACAGACATGAGGACAATCATTCAATTTTTCTTGAGATCCATATCAAAAAACGACTTACCTCTATGCCGAGAACGCCAACTAAGCTTCTTTGGCTATTAATGCGATCACAAATGCGGGAGTTGGGGAAGCAATTTATCGTGGGATAGATGCGGGCGTCGCGCTCCTGAGGCTAAATGTAAGTAGCAGAGGCAACAGGAGAATCTCTACAACAATCTATTCAAATGGTATAGGACCGAAGCAATTGGAGACAAATCATATATGTTCACGGTCGTGATAAGTGAGGGAAGAACAAAGAAGAAAATAAATAACACATCATGAGCTAAGCTCAGCGTATCTCATTTTTGAAATATTTCTGTCAAGTCTAATACTCATGATATTGATTTCTCGTGGCTGACTATATCTTAATACTCTCCGTCAAAAGACATTTACACTGGCATATAAACATATGAGCTGTTACTTTACTATTAAACTGTGAGAATTAAGATTATCTTCGTTTTGACGATTCGAATAATGTAAATATATAAGATATGAAAACTTTAAGTATTCAGTGGTTAATTTATAAGGATACGATGTACTGTATGTAAGATTGTTGATATTAATAAATATTGTGTTGTTTTCATTTTATTGTTAATTGCAACGAAATTCTATCCTTCGCGTTTGAGGTTTTTAATTTATGTTCCAGTAGTCTATCGAAACAAAATTTGCAACTTCAAAAAGACCGGTAAACGACTTGACGAAAAAGTCGTGTAGAGGGGGAGGATTGCTCCACTTTCGTGCAATCAATGGCGTTGGCTTGCGCGGTCTTTCCTTATTCCTTTTCCGACTGATACACTGACTGAACACTATACTTATATTGAAATACAGCAATACTATAATGTATCTAAACAAAACTTAATCACTGTTTGGGCGGTGTAGGTCATAAAGTCGTAAGTTTTTCTAAAATTGTTTTTAAGTTCCTCATCAGAGAGGGCCCGTGAATTATATAAGAGAGATGTATATACTGGGACAGGTTTTGATACTGGGTTTCACTCAATACGTCACAGGACTCAATCGACACAAGTCGACACATACAAACGCAAACTAATTTTCGACTGGAACGCATCGCATTTGATACTCGCTGTGAATGCCCGACTAAAGCAAGTTTTTTTTTATGGAAGGTGTCAAATGAGCAGCTGGTTACTTTAAACTATAAGTTGCTGAGACTGGGTCGGATTGCCTCATTCATCAGACGAAACGCAACAGTATGAATACTTGCAACTCACCGTCATTTTAATAAAAGCAGCATGAAACAGTTGACTCTTATGAACCCTGAGACTAGGGTTTGGGCTAGGATTTTTCTTAATTTAAGTTGTCTCGAGTCCCGGGACTTTCGGGTCGAGACTCGAGAAGAGACAAGATTGTCGAAATTGCTGTATAATAATTTTTAATCGTTCAAATAATTGAAGAAGCCTAGCGCGCCGAAAATTTTCCTATTGGTTCAATTATCTTCAAAAATTCACGTTTCAAGTTGAGAGATCTGGAGAAAAAAAAAAATTGCTTCCAATAAACATACCATAAAATGAAACGACCGGTAATCCTTACGTACTGCGTGTTTATTGAAAATTACAAAATAATCGCTATCTGAAATGCAAGATTTGATCCCGATAATTGAAACTGGTGCACAGGTCGATCTCCGGACTGGAGCCGGCTATCGTCAGCAGCTTGTTGGGGCTCGTCCTCAGGGCGACCGAATAGACCGTGGCGGCGGACACCGGCAGCTCCACCTTCACCTCGCCGGAGTAGCTCATCTGGTACAGGTGCTTCGCCGCACCGCCCGCTATGACGCAGTCGTCGTGGAAAAGCGACACGTGGATGCCGTGGTCCGGCACGTCGAACACCGTCACCACGTCGAGCGAGCGGAGGTGCCACAGCGACAGCCTCGGCCCCCCGCCACACACCTGCATGATATTGTAGTAACCATAACAATAACAGACACGAGGTGTTCTTTTTTAAATGTATGGAATCGTTGTAAAAACTATCCAGTCGATTCAGCGTAATGGAGCGTTTCTGCTGCACAGTAATAGAAATATAAATTTTATAGTGATATTTATAAGTTGTTAACAAACTCAATTGTTTAGTTACAGCCAAACAACAGTATTTTACACGAATGAGTCGTGCTCTTCTTCGTCAGGATATATCATGACCTGACAGAAGGTTTCTGTGATGGGGATTTGTTATGCTTCTGCGTTTTGTCTGGTGAGTTTGTTAACTTTGAGGCATTTTTTTAAAAGGTGCAAATGCATCTACAACCCAAAGGGTGTTGCTGATATCCTTGGGCAGGGGTCAGCCAGCGCAATTGCCATTTCACATAAAAAAAAAGAAAAAATATATATGTGAATGAAATAAGGGCCACATTTTGTCAACATTTTTGGTGACAGAATGTATATTAATGCACATATGAAGTACCGAGCATAGCCCACTCCGTTGCTAGCTGAGCGACTTTGAGCTTCCTCCTTTCTTTGCTTCCTTTATGATGCATTATGATTCAGCATAATTGACAAAATTTTTAAATGAGTACATTTATATTTAACAATTCAGTAACAACACTCACAATCCAATCCTCTCCCAAGGCAGCTGATCCAATCCATTTGCCAATATCAGGCCTAACAACTTTGTCATTTGTATGTGGTTCCAATTTATTGTGGTGCTTGTTCATCCTAACATCCCATAACAATAATAAACCATCTTCCCCAGCAGAAATCAGGTGTTGGCCTCTGAAAGAATTGATAAAGAATGATGAATAAAATATCATTAACTGTCAGTCATTTTCCAATCTTTATAAATTAATCTAGTAATTGTTAAATAAGCAGATTATTTGATGATGAATGAGATAATTTGCAAAATTAATTGTACATTGCTTTATAATAACAGGTTTTATTTGCTACTAATAAATTATAATTCTTGTCTAACTAGATTGAAAGATAGCAGTGAAATAATTTTGTTAAGATACAAATTATTATTAAAATGATTACATACCGTCCATGTACACTATGTATGTAATCCCTATGACCGTCAAATGTGTTTACAAGCCTCCCATCCTCTAAATTATATGCATAAATTTTACTGTCACCACAGCCAGCATATATTTTATTGTTTTCGTCCGAAAGCCACAGGCTATTCACATCGGTTTCATCGACTCTGGATAGTGAAGATATTTTTATACTCCATGCAGGTTTACTTAATTTTGACTGCAGGACAGTTTTCCACTCCCATCCTAATATTTCGTTAACAGTGCCCACAATAAGAAACTTCTCAGTACTTGCGAGACTACAGATCTGATTTCCCTTTTCTAACAGATGCAAATGTTTGGGTTTGTTAAAATCAGGAGTAAGTAATTCGATCACAGGATGAAGAATAGAGTCGAGGCTGTAAAAAACAGTGTTCTGAAGTGTTCATTTTACAATAATACAATAAACAAAAACGAACAATAAACCAGAACGCACTCGAATACCGCAATCTGTCCGTAAATATTGCCGGCAATTAAATATTGCCCACAAGGTGAAAATGTCTGACATAATACTGTGTTGTATAGAATTTTGTCCAGCATATTTTTAGTATGTACTTGGTATTTTTATATAGGATAGGTTAAAAACTTAAAACACAACAATTCGATTTCGAAACCGTCGCAATGTTATCATAACAATTAACATAACCTTACGAAATCTGCCGAAAACGTCAATTTCATACTTGAGGAGCGTCGGTGCAAAAACCGATAAATAAAATTTTGACAGTTTTGAATTTTTTATTTTAATTATGGCAATCGGCAGATTACGTACATAACTAGAGCCATTTCGTCTTTTAAAACATTCAGGAAACACTAATCGGAAAATAAACCGATAAATAAATCGAATTGTTTCATGATTGGTACATACAACGTCAAATCCTTAGAAATTTTCATAGGTCATGAATTTGGTAGGTTGAAAACTAAGTTATCCATTACCAAAAATTTATAGGATACATGGGAAAGTTTTATTACTAGGTCAAGATTGGAGTTTAGTAATTTCAAACATCGAGAAACAATGATTTGAAACAAATACATCAAAAAAAATGTGACGTTATTCAAGGACGAGGATTTTTAAGCTATTGCATAGCTTCTATCGCGGGCTTTGAGCGCGACGACCGAGTCAAGAAATTCCGTAACGAAAATAAAACCTAACACTGGGGGTGTTAGGTTTTATTTTGATAAAAAATGCTATGCAATAACTTCACTGCGGCAGTCCCCGAGTGCCACAGTTAGATTTTTTTTTATTGTGAGAAGGTGGCAAACTAGCTGGTCGTTCACCTGATGTTAAGAGATAAGAAGACTTGCAGATGCGTTGCCACTTTTAATGAAGTGGGCTGGGCCCGTCTGCTTCATTCACCAGAAGTATAACACTTCTAACACAGGTCTTCTGTCGTGATACTTACGGAACGACCTGCCCATTCGAGCAACAGAGAAGACTGTTGCGTGGCCCTACAAGGAGTCAAGCTGGACAAGCCGGAATTTTATAAACAAATCGATTCACGAGAATGTGTTTGAGTATCTTAAAAGCAAAAAACCGGTCTAGTGTTAGTCAGACTCGAGCTGTCCCAAAAATCATCTTGTATAATAATTTTGTTACTCCTTTCTTTTATTTTCGGTTTCAGATTTCCTACGGATTCCGACTTTCAAATTACTGAAGATCGATTATACAGTAGATTTTAGAAACAGATATTGATGAATAAAGAACTGTATTTTTACTGTGTTTTTGTTATTAATAAAATTAGTAAAACTACTAATCTACAAAATAATTTAATATATTAACTAACTCTTAAATAAATTTAGCTTTATTCAACCTATTTTGTTAATCTTTCACCTTATTAAATTATGGGGAAAACTTAAGTTAATAATTTGGAGCCGGCATACCTAAACTGTGTGTGTTTCTATGACAGTTTGTAGGTTTGTACTGTTGTACTAGCAACATAAACACATTTTATATACATATGTATATGTTTACCATAATCACAAGGATCTTGGTCATATTTATTACTCATAAATAAATAGTTTACTGAAAATTTTCCGTTCACTTTGTTATCTTAATTTTACAGTTTGTTGTTTTATTTAGTGGTAAATGATTTTATTGCTAAATATAACATTAGATTGTTCAATCCAAAATAATGGACTTTTATAATGATATTTAATAATACTTACATATATATTTTAAATAAATTAAAATTGAATATTGTTTCTTCTTTAGTGATGTAGTAATTCGAAAATAATAAAGTGCCATCGACAATAGTCATTTAATATTCTAACATTGACCGGTATTTGTATTCTGTGATGACGACAGATTATAGAGATAGACAGGCGACCGACAGCGACAATAAAATCAAAGTTTTTCAGTCAAGCAAGATGGACGTGCGTTTTATACGTACAAATATTTAATCTCCATAATATTGGTGAGACATTTATATAAGTTTGTCTTGTATTATATCTGTGTTAGAGCTTTGCGTTTATAATTTGCCCTTTAAAACATGAGCGCTTTTTTAGATGTCCCATTTTATCTACGTATCAAATTGCACCTCACCCCGCAAAGCTAATTTTATTAATTGACTTTTATTCCCATCAATTTTAGAAAGAAACAACAAAATGTACAATGGTATAGGATTGACCACTCCGAGGGGGTCGGGAACTAACGGTTACGTTCAGACGAACTGGGCCTCGGTGAGAAAAAAAGATTTTGTTAATTATCGAACTGAGGAAGAAATTGCTAAGTTGGATTCAGCATCGAATAAGCAGCCTAACCAAGATATACTTGACCATGAGAGAAAAAGGAAGATCGAAGTTAAATGTGCTGAACTTGAGGATAGTTTGGAAGAACAGGGGTGAGTGTTTGTGCCTTTGTTTATTATTACGGTAAGTTTTTTGAAACGGTCAGATTTCCGAATGATCTCTTTTTATTTTATTACGTTCGATTAAACTCCTCTTTTTATTTATTTAGAGATATTTGGGTCTTGGATATGCATTTATCAATTAACTGGAATTATTATTATTTGCATAACATATATTTCAATATTTTTCTTATTAAGGGTATGAATTAGCTATTCATACCCTTAATAAACATAGGTGAACATTAATATGGTGTGACTTTATAAAATGTACAGAATTAAAATAAATATTTCATAATATGTCCCAATCAATTCTGTAAGAGACAACTTTAAATGAATTGGATGTTAAAAGTCCATACAAATAATCTTGAAGTAAAAACTATGGTTTGTAAGTGCTACATTATTCAATTATTTTCAACATAATAGCTTCTTATCAAGTATGGCTTGTTAATTGATTCAATTTACTTGAATTTTGTATGCTTTCCTCCTCTTTAACAAAAAAGAAACAGTTGAAAGCAAATTGCTATAATAATTTTTCATATTTTACTTAGAGTATTTTACTAACTATAATTATGACTATATAGAAACACTTTTGTGCTGTTCTTAGATATGACTCATGACAAAATTTTTTATTAAGTTAGTAATAAAATATAAACACATTCACTGTGACCCACTCCATAAAAGATTTCCATTTACAAGTGTACACAAAATTTTTTCAGCTTACAATAAATTTTAATTGATTAATAGAATGTCGATAATTGTATAAAATTAAAATCTTTTTTCTAAATCGGTCTTGGCATCATCCTGCTTCGCGGAGCTCTTTGATATGATAAAATGTAGACTAATGAACCTAACCTAACAGTTAGAAAAATAGATGTTGATCCTAATTTATGACAAGCCCTGATGATGATTGAGCTTTTTATGTGAACATTGCCATTCTGATTTACACAAGTAGAGACAAGACCTCATCACTGATGAGATTAGATTAAATTAGTTAAATTAGATTGATAGAAGGCAAAGAATATGGAGGCATAAAAGAAAGTTTTACATTCAGTCAATTTTGTAAATACACTGGAACACGATCTAACTGCTATGCTACAAACAGCTCTTACTGAGTTGTTTATACTCAATGGAGGGAATATAGCTGCTGTTGAGGGAAGGACGATCAATGACCTGACTGGCTAGTGGATAGTGGACTTGCCTCTTGTGCCAGTTGGTGTGGGTTCGATCCCCACTACTGAAAAAATATTGTTTTCGTATAACTGATGTTACACTTTCAGTCTTAGACTTTTAAAGCTTCATAGAAAGCAGAACCGGTGGGCTAGCCAGAACCTACGGGTTTGAGGCCCTACTTAGTGGGTTGGGAAAAAAAAAAATTGTGCGATGAACATAGTATTTGTCCAGTGTCTAGGTGTTTATACATTGTAAAGGTCACAAAGCATATGAATGGGTTGAATGAATTTAAAAGAGACAAAACATACTGTTAGAAGGAGAGTCTTGTAATACGACGCTGTGGCGCGAGTTGTATAGGATGTTACAAATTTTGTTTCGTTTTACTTTATTAGTTTGTTTGAAAAAAATTTTTTTTTAATTATGGATTCTGTTTAACGTTAATATTTTTTTATGATTATTGGCAAGTAGTGTAAGACGTGTGTTCATTTATTGTCGCGATGGTAACGACACGCTGTATATTTATAATAAGCATTTATTTTAAAAATGTTTAAGTATTTTTATCAATATGGTGTTAGAGGAAATGCATTACACTGGATAGAAACCTACTTTTCAGATTGCTATCAGTGTATTGAAATACCATGCTTTTCAGGTATGTACAAAAAGTTATAACAATCTGAATCGATGTGGTCTACCACAGGGCAAGTTTTTGGGTATACCCATTGTTATGACAGTCGACAAATATTGGAACTGGAAGGTACATATTGATAAAAATTGGTTCCAAGTTAGAAGGTTACGTATACATGTTAAACCGATTAAAAAAAAATCGAAATCTAGCGCTGCTCTTTGCGTCTATCACGGATATGTTTTCTCCATTTTGCGTAATGGAATAATTATAGGGGGTAATTTGGTCGATTTCATCAGAGCTTTCAGAGCGCAAAAAAAATGTCTCAGGTCTGTAAGTGGCGCAGAATAGTTAGACAGTTGTGTTGGTATTATTTAAAAACACCATATTCTGCCACTACCTCCTTTATACATTTACGGAATTTCCTTATTTGCTCGTAAACATCTGACCCTTTTTAAAAGTAATTTAGAAATAAACAATCGAAATAGTAGATCCTCTTACGAATTACACATGCCTCGCCATCGTACCACAATATTCAGCAGAAACTGTTATTTTAACCATTACGATGTATAGTAAATTACCTTAAAAATATACTATAATATTAGATTAAAAACTTTAAATTTAAAATTGTTTAAGTGAAGTCTGATTAAGTTTCTGATAAGTAAATGCTATTGTTCCACAGGGGATTATTTAAATGATAAAAATTTATAAAAACAGTTTCCTAAATTATATTTTTAATTAGGTCTTAAAAGTTGTATCGTCCCTTATGTTCTACCGTTTCTGATGTACAAATATTACATTTTACATGTATTACATGCAAAGAATGCTGGACACCTTAGTCTGAGACGACCTTTAAGTGGGCGTGATAGTTACCTCACTTACCGCACGAATTGGGAAATTATATTACGTCTATTTCACGCAGGTTTTCTGTGAGGCTGTGTTTACCTCCCCGGACCTGCCTGCCCATTCGTGTAATAGCCAAATCGTTTATCTTTGTAAATTTCCTACGTTACTGTCGACGACTCAGTATGCCTCGTCAAACGTCGGGATTTTTTTTAATTTAAATTAAAAGCGACAAAATCTGTAAAATGGTTTTATCTACAGGTTGTAGTGAAAACCACGTGAAAAACTACATGAAAACGAGAAATCATTAACCACGTGAAAAACTACGTGAAATTGAGAAATTTTTGATTCTCTGTCTCCAACTAAAACAATTCGACTTTTGTGCTTTGAAACGGAACAATAAAGCCATGGTAGGGATGTCGAAAGTGAAGAAATAGTACATCATTATATCGTTATTTATAAAAATATAAATATCGGCCTCGATATATCGAATAGAAAATATCCATATTTTCTGTTTAGGACCCGTTGTCCAGAAGAAAGGAATATCAAGTATGAAATATTTACCATCTACGACTCTGTGCCGGATTCGAATTTGACAAAATATAGTTTTTGATATGGAATATTTTGTATCGATTTTATATTGATCCAAATATATCGGATAAAAATATGAATATTTAAAATAAAAAATATGGATATTTTTTCGACATCCCTAAGGCATAGTAGCAACTTCCTGGAAAGTGTGACTGCGATGTCCGATACTTATATATTATTTTACGTGGCTCATGTAATGAACAAGTCACTTTGATACCTATTAATTGAATGCATACAGGAAATTTTGGCGATATTGTATAGTTTAACTCTTTTTGAGGGCAGTAAGTAATCCGCGCGAGTGTATAATGAAAAGGTTTAACTTAAGTAATCGATTCGACGCACTTAATCTAAGTAATTATTGCACTTCGTACTAGCATAACGTGCTAATATTTACGTACGAAATAATTAATTAAATTGGTCCAATTGAGAGATTCTATTCAAATTCAAAATATCTTTATTCACATAAACGCTTACGCGTTCTTATGAAAACGTCGAAATTTTACATAGAAATTAATACGTTCGTTAGTGTGGTAACTAATATATACTATATTCGAAATTCGCCGAGCAAAATGAATTTGTTGTTTTTATTATTCGTAGGAAATCGTCGCCGTTTCCCTGCCGCACCGTCCCTCCACCCTATTTCGTGGGCGGGAGCCCCCGTTGCGCACGAGTCAAATCAATAATGCAACAGAGTGCGACTAGGCAACCCCATTCCATGTCATTCATTCGCCTAGTCCCAGCCGGTGTGCTTACACCGCGCCACGCGGCGCCTTATCGCCGCTTTTATTGTTTTTCGTAAAGTAATTCAGCGATTACGACAGCCGCGCGTATCATGCATTGGTACGTTCAGGTGGACTGTAACGGCGGCTCGCGCGGAATTTATTTTGAGATTTCCATTACATTACATTACACTCGCCGACGGGGCACGCTACCCTGCGCAGGAGCGGCTCGGAACGTTCAATTTCGAATTCGTTCTATATTGACCCGCGTTTTTATTTAAAAAAAATCACCCGAAAGAAATGTTCCGAATTTAAAATTTTCCGTTTTTTTTTTTAAATAATGAGCGTGTCATTGGTTTGGCTGCGTAGGTTGCCGAAGGAGGAGATAGCGGCACGCGTGGCCGCGTTCAGAGCGAAACTCTCGGAGTCCAGCAGTGGTGAAAAGGACGTGCCCAGGGACGAATTTGGAAGGGTGGCGTGAGTATTGCGTGTTGAGTTTGAGTATTTTAAATGTACAGAGACCATATTGTTACAACTAGCTTATAACAAATGATGAAACAGAATTTAGTTTACCCTTTCTTTAACTATCAGCGAACACGCAAGTGTTGCCATATTCATTGTACTTTTAAATCAGCCATGAGAAATAACATCGATCGTAATTTGAATTTGAAATACGTATTCTTTTTATTTGATATACATTACTAATCCATACCGCGTTAATCTCTCTGTTATATTTTGTGTTTTAACAACGGTTGCTAATGGCTTTGAAGTACAGTGTAGGTGTTTGTACAGTTTTGTATGTGCAGACTTCGACGGTGATTCGTGAAACACGACAGCTTTTCTTTAATATATGTATGTTCCCTGTTTTTTCAATAAATGTCCCCATATAATTATAACCAAAAGTGATTGTTGTTTATTATTCAATTACTGGCACATTTCGATCCGATTGTAGGCGCATCTCAAATTAAAACACTGAACCCATCGAGTTAACAACCTTACAATCGCCGCGCGGCGCTTATCAACGTCCATATTGAAAATCGCAATTAATTTCCCCGCCAATTATGAGTCGCGTAATCGATCGGCGCCGCAGCGGCGAGCGTACAAACGTCCCGGAGTAAACAAGATGAGAGATCGACGCGATATCTAATTTCGTATGCGCGGTTTTATTTCCATTCTGTATTTTCGCGCGCACACCGTACCATATTCTTAAAATAGCGACACACTGAACGGTTTACGCGTGAAGGATGAAAGGTAACAAAAAAGTATACCTTGCAATATATACAACACGACCCATCCGTCCCTACCTTTGCTACGATCACGACTATTATATAGATTATATTCACGCGAACATTATTAATACATGACCTATGTCGAACTGGAATAATATACCTTTCAAATGCTGAAAGAAACGTTATTGTGGGGATTATCCTCCTTAAACAAACTTCCAAAATTCGTAGTCTTTCTTTATAATATGGTAAGTCTTTCTTTATCATACAATACCGGTTATGTCTAAACTCCTGTATACATAAATAAGCAAGTATATATCATATGCCAGGTGTGCGTTATCTCTAACTCAATAGTGTAAAAGTTATTTAATTTTTTTTATAATCCATGGCGCTTATTGGATCATCATAATTTCATTGGGTAGGTTAGGAAATATACAGATGAGATAATAGTTGCATCGCGAGCGACGAGTCTTAATTTGGAGGTTTATGAAAGTAGAGGAAAACAACAGAGCCAGGAGATTATTTTGAAATATAGCGGACAGTGCAATGAGGGAGCAGATATATGGACAAATGAAAGAAGGTCTTGTATTATCGGCAAATATTTGTTTCGAGCCTGGGTGTACTTTGTTCCACAAGCATGCTATTCATTCCCTAGTGCGGGAGACCTTTTAGAAATGCTAAAAGGTCTCCCGCACTACGGAAAGTAGAGATCCTACGCGGAGCTCTAAAAGTTGATAAAGGTGATAGGAGAGGTGGCAAAAAAAAATATAACAAATACGTTTGACAAAAAGCGGACGTTATTTTAAGCAAATCCACAATTGTCAAAATATAGTGCAGTTATACTGGAATAAGTCACTTGCCAGATTTGATGCTTGCAGTTAAGGCCTTAAAAATAAATGTGAAATAGATTTTCATGCCTTTTATATAAACAGGAGTTTTTTTGTACACGACTTTTCTGTACACGAGGTACCTTAAACTGTTTTTGGATGCGTATTTAGTCGGAAAGGTCTAGAATATTCAGTCCATAACTATCTAAAGTTACGCTTTTCTTTTTCAATTTTGTTAACAAACAACACCGACGCGTATGGCGTATATAGCCCCTTTTCCGTCTAAGTAAAGTCGTATAGTAATACCATTTCACTTCCACTTTACTACGTTTACCTTAGCCCCGATTCTTTATCAGCGGCAGCTATTCACGATTCTATCCGATGGGTCCATCGATTGTCACGTACAATCCCAGTAAATCGATCCGGAGGGGACGAGGCAATGAACTGTGCGCCAAACGTAATCCAAACGGGCCCTTTCGTATCGACCGACGGCATAAAGGGGCCGGTAACCACCCCTCGCTATAGTGGGAGGTAGGGAAGGCTTTAGAACTCGCTGCCGCAGGGCACGCCGCTCTCGCCAGTACGTAAGCCGACTACACGAGATAATTGAAATATTAATTAAAGCGAAAAACGGTTCATATTCGAAATTAACGACTCGAAAACATTTTCACTTGTTTTATATTTATTTTTTGGGCTCTTTATATTATTGAAATACAAAAAAATATACGTTTCTACAGTACACAGTCAGTAAACAGTCTTCGTTGACAATTTAAAAGTTATAAACAGTGTTACATCTAAAGTAAAAAGTAAAGCCAATAAATAATATAAAAAATATAAAAAGATTATACTTAAACTATTTCCTACATGTTTTAATATAATTAAACAGGCAATGTTAAATACATATTAAAAATAAACAACATACTTAAAATACATTTTATGTTGTTTTGTCTTCTCTGTTGTAATATTGTCTACTGATATTTTGCTATTTTTTTTATTTTGTAGGTAGTACTATGCCTACCAATAGATATTGAAATAATTCGAAATAAAATCGTGTTTTGTGTAAGGTTATTATAAATACGTTTTTTTTAATTGAGTTTTTTATTTGTTCGGTACGAGCTGAGGTTTAAAACTTGATCACTGGAGGACAATCCACGAATGTCCCTCTTTTAGGGTTTCAAAAACCATTATATTCGATGATATTATTTTATTATGCTTTACCATGCGTAGTATTCGCACAATTACTTGTAATCGCTTTTTACGCTTTAGTTTCTTTTTCATATATCCATTAATATGGATTAGTATGGCTCTGAATAGAGCCAGTTTTAATGTTTTTTTTTTGTTTGAGGTTTTAGGTATGCTGCATATGGTAACTTTTACGCTTTATTTACCTAGCGAAGTATTTCACTTTCGTTGTGAAATATCAAAAGTTTTCGTAGCGTGGTTCGACGTTATATTTGAACGTTTACACAAGTAATGTGTTTAAGTTACCGAAAAAGTAAAATTATTCCCATTAAAAATATCTCCAAAGTATTGAAATATGATATGTTTTTTCGCACATTATGCATGAATTATACATAAAAATTTTCCTCTTGAATCACTCTATCTACTAAAGAAAACCGCATCAAAATCAGTTGCGTAGATTTAAAGATCTAAGCATACAGGGTGGCTTTTCTAAGTGTATCCATTTTTTTTTATTAAATTCTAGACATAAATAATGTTATATAAAAAATGATAAATATTTAAAATCACTCTTAAGTAGTTGATTACATTCATTTGAACTTATCTCAAAAAGTGGGTTTTTTATGGGGAACTCATTTATTTTACGCGCGATCATTCATAACTAACACGCACTCAAGTTCGTGCACAGTAAAATTTAGGTATTTATGAATGACTACCGCATTGTCAACACGGTCTGTTTTTTGGGGAATGCAATGGCGTTTTTTTTGGAAAAAAAAAACTTTGTTTTTTATTTCAATAAACGATTATACTACCGAGTCCGAACCTCCTGTATAAATTTGGGCACTTCTCAAAAAATCTCCCTGTATATAGGGACAGAGAGACAGCGAAGCGACTTTATTTTATACTATGTAGTGATTTATAAGTGAATGGATGCAGACGGTTCAGGATCGTGCTACGTGGCAGTCAGGGCGAGGCCTATGCTCAGCAGCAGTGGGCTAAAACAGAATGAAATGATGATTAGTATTGAATTTGAACCGTTAATTGACAAAATGAGGCCCTTTTTTATGTTACGAAGTGGCAATCGAGCTGGCGGTTAACCTGATGTTAAGTGATAACTGCCACCCATGGACATTTGCAATACCCATAGGATTGCAGATGCGTTGCCACCTTTTAATAAAGTGGGGCCCCGGCTACCCCACTCACCAGACGAAACGCAGAATGGCAACACTCCTACTTCACGCCCGCCGTCTGTGAGGTCTTGGTACTAACCCGGACGGACTGGTACTTGGTACTAACACTTGCCTGGCCCTACCACAGTTCTCATTCCTTTGCAACTCGAGCAATATTTCACTCTTGTGTGTACGATTTTCGTCTCTGCAAACGTTTCGAAGAGGCAGTGGGCTTTAGCGTTAAAAGAAAAGTGGTAGCCGAGTGCGCCGCAACACTTGACGCCCCCGTGTCAAGCGCCTTTGTTCCGAATACGTGCGACAAAATAAATGATACGCTCGCCGTTCCCGTTTCCCGCGCTTTGCCGGCTCAGTTCCGTTTCCCGCCAACGAGTTCGCGCGACTCACACGTCACGAGAATTCCATAGAAACACATATCTTTATGGTTTCGTACCTCTAAAGGTAAAAAAGGAATCCCCTATAAGATCACTCTCTTGTCGCTGTCCGTGTGTCACCACCGATTTTCTCGGGAACGGGTGGACGTAGCAATTTGAAATTTATACCAGATGCTGTCTAATGTGTATGATTAAAAACTACCATATAAACCAAAATGGTAGATTTTATTCATACACATTCAAAATTCATAAATATTCTCAAGTTTTTCTATCATCCACGCCCTGCTTACCACACGTTTGCAACTCAACTATTACAGCACACATACGCCGACACTAAAAACTTAGCCACCAATAAAAATTATACCAATTTTGTTATGCTGTATAATGGGTTGGTCGTACGGAACCCTCGGCGCACGAGTTCGACTCGCAGTTGATCGGATTTTTTATTAGACAATTGAAAGCGATGTTTTTAGTTGTATTTGCCATTTGCAACATTCGAATAACTTTATATATTTACAAAACTGCTTTATTTTATTACAAGCCCTTTGAACCCATATAAGTTTCTGTAAGAAAAATAAATCTGAGACATATTTATTGTTCTTACTGATACTTATTCATTCTAACAACATTTGGGTCAATATGAAAATAATAAAATGTTAGCTTATCTTGGAAATGAAATTTTTATACGTAATAAAGAAAATCCGCGCAAAAGCACGCACAACAGCAATTAATTAAACGCTATAGAGGAAATCTGTGATGTAAAAGGTCGGACGTGTTTAGGGCGGGTCCATTGAAGCTGACCTACATGAAGGGCAAAATTAAAAGTTCAAACATTTCGCTGCGTGTTTATATGGGAGAGTTATTAGAAAGGTCATATTCAGTTTTCGCTCAAGATAAGCAGTTCCGGTCTAATTGCATGGGTGCCTTTTTCTCATATTATAGGATATGTACGCCTTTTTAATATTAGCTGTTTATATCAATTTTCTAGCCAATTCAATTCGAATAAAAGACGAGCTGCTGTCAAAAGTCTGGCGTCCCGCAAGTCTTAGTTCTTTCACCCCTTTTATTTTCACTCTACCTGTAGTGTATCCTCAAGGACCACTATGCTAAATAAAAATTTCTCGCGGACACACTGCTAAAACCCTGCCGATTGACATAACAATTCGACTTGCTTAATGCGGGGTTGGTGGCGGATTTACCCGTATGGGCCAATAGGCCCGGGCCTAGGGCGGCCACATATTTGGGGCGGCCAATAGTGACAAAAAATTCACTGATGATAACAAGATACATGATGGGCCCTGAGAAAGGGACGGCTGGAACCTACTACATGGGCTGGGGCCTAGGGCGCCAAGAGTATAAATCCGCCACTGTGCGGGGTCACTAGGAAAAATAACGTCATCGGCTACATAGGCTATAACCCATTCTCGGTATTCCTTAGGCGGGATAAAGTCACATATCTAGGGTGAAATTCGATGCAGCCGTATCGTTTTCGCACCTAATAAGTAAAACCGTGTACTTCCGGTATTAATTGTCTCACCTCTTCCCTTCGAGGCCTTCAAGCCGTTTGAGCAATATGTTCAAAATACAAGCTCTTGTGCTATCAGGCTTGCTTAAGGCCCATCGTGAATATACAGGTGATCCAAAGTAAACACAACGGTGCTTTCAAAATTTCCGAATTGCGTACCCATCCGTTGTACTCGTAAGTTTCCAACGTGCCAACGTCTCTTCGGTGGAATTGCATATCCAACTGCTTCGGCGAACTCGCTTACCTGCCGGGCGCAACACTAATGTTGGCAAACGGTCGCTGCTAAACTTCCTTTCCAACCTACCGAATTGATAGCCTCTTCCTTTAGAAAGTCGATAAAAAATACGCGTCGCCACCTTCCTTCATCAGCTCAGCGTCATGAGATGATGTTGACCATACGCAAATGTCTTAATAGCTTCAGAAAATGTATGAAAAACATTGTTAATACCTATAACATTTGAGGATTGTCTTCGATTTCTCTGGGATGCCATCATCAGATCCGTGTTTCCTTATCACCACCCTTGGGATATCTCCTTTCTATCGAAATAATAATCATCAAAATTGGTTCATAAAAGACGAAGTTATCCGCGAACACACATAAAAAAATATATATTCGGTCCTATTGAGAACCCTTCCCCTTTTTTGAAGTCGGTTTGAACCCCTGTTTTGAACCGGTAATTTATAAATAAAATTATTAATACTGATAAAAACTACCTTATACATTATTTTCACTAATTGTATTTTTGCCGATCGATTTGTATTTAATTTGCCTCACATCCATGTTTTATGTAGGTATGTGCATTTAAGTCGAATTTAAATTTTAATTGCAAGATAGAAATGTGAAGTGCATAATAATCTTGTAAAATTAGGTCAACTACTGAAACTAAGGGGGCCTCAGAAGGGATTAGTCTGCCACTGCCTCTGTATCTTAACATTCCAGTGCGGTGCTGGTAGTTTGGAATCATAGTATTTTTCACCTAATTGCAAGTGAAAACAGTCGCCAATTGACTATTGAATTTATATTTTTTTGTTTCTTTTTTTAAACATAGCCCTTACTTTGGGATAACATTATCCTGTGTTCTAAGGAGGTTTTTTGTAAACATAAATTTCACACGGATAAACACCCAGATGCGGAACAACTATCTGTGTTTCACAAAAATAGTTGTCCCGTGTGGGAATCGAACCCACGACCCCCGACGCTGCAGCCGATACCTTGGTGACTACGCGACGGAGTCATCATATTATTAGAATGATTTGTAATATTCGAAAAACAAAATTATAATTATTATTGTTTCAACAGTAAAAAATAATTTTTTTTAAATGTGTTCGCATTCAGTCTATAAATTGATATAAATAACATGTAATAATAAATAGCACTTGTAGCAACTTTATAAATAGGCGAGGCGAATTAATTTTCACGAAGATACATTTGCACTGTTTCGTAAGATTTGTTTAATAGGCGATACAACAGAAGCCGCCCAAACGCAGTACAAACAACATCAGACATAGACAAAATTTCCGTCACGTCGCACGCCATTATCCTTGCCTATTTAAACACGCCATCGGATTATCCAATCGCGAAATTGATCGGATAACGAAATCCGGAACAAAACTGCTTATAATTAATAAAGTGTGCCAAGCCGGGATGCGTAACTAACGGGATTAACTGCTCGTGTAGGACTTCGCGTGGATGCGACATACGAAAGCGAAGCGACTCAATCGTCACTCGATAACGTGAAAAGTATATCATCGATTCTCGTGTAAGAAATTGTTTAACGATGTTGTACGGTTGGCTTCGGCGCCGGGGGTTGTGGGTTCAATTCCCACACGGGGCAAGAATTTGGGTGAACAACAGATATTTATTACGGATCTGGGTGTGTATTACCAAGGACAATTGACATAAGGCCATACCACTAAAAATTCACACTACACAGGGAAAAAAGAATAGAAAAGGTATTGTTAGGTAAAAAGGTAAACAATTTACACAATATTTTTCAAATTGCAGGCTATCAGCCTGGGTTAGGTTATTTTCCTGATTTGACCTCGGTGATTAAAAATTTCCGCCGCATTAAGAGGTCAAAGCTGCGGTAAACCACTTTTTGAAGACCTAGGAGATTTATTTTATAGGAGAGTCATAGACGCTATTAAAGCAGATGGAAGAAAAATTTGATGTAGATTTTTTCGAAAAATAGAAATAGTTTTTTCGATATTAATTTTCTTTTCTTGACTAGGCTTATCATTTTTGTCATCTAGTCAGATAAATTAAAAAAGCACAATGAACTCTTTAACAGTGTGGCCATCTATGGATGGCACGACAACCCATAGTTTTTTTTTTTTCTAAATTATTTGCAAAGAATTTGCCATTAAGTAAATTCAAGCGATGCTTTAATCATCACTCATTTTAATTTCTTTCTACATCGTACTTTATACTAACAAAAGTTTGATAAATATTGTTCTAAACAGCAGATCTTTCTATGTGCATTACATTGATTGATAGGAGCCATTTTATACTCTTGTTATATAGGAGATGCTAAACTGATACTGTTTTTCTTGGATATTCAATTAGCGTGTTAGTGTTTCAGCTAACTGGCCGCTCCGTGTTGCACGATATGTTTTTTATTCGATTAGAAAAAGTTACTGGTAACTTTCGCCATCTAGCGGATGTCGCGAGAGTTTCATCGGTCGCCCTTACGGCGTCTAAGTGCTACGAGCCTAAAGGCCCATTTACACGATGCCATTTTCTTGAACATACAAGAGCAATAATTGAATGCAATAAATTGCGCCCAATAATTGTTTAGACCATTTGTTGTTTAGACCATGCAACTCATTTATTGCTTCAATTTAATTGTATACAACAGGCAAGAAACTGGCACCATGTAAATGGGCCTTAAGTGTCCCTAGGGGGCTTATAAAGCCTTCACAATTTAATTATCGTAATCACGCAAGTCGTAGCAGTCATAAAATACGCGTGCCTACTTCGATGCGCATAGGAAACATTCCTAGATATTACGACCGAAACGTGATGGTGAAATAAACGACTGTAAAATTGTAAAATCCTCTAAACGTGGACTAGATTAATTTACGGCCTGTACAACACACGGTAATAATGATGGATTATTGCGCTGTAGGGAAATGATTCGCCTACTTATCTGCACTTACTTATTTTGTTAAAGTTTCAGAAAATATATTAATTTTTGTGTATATTTGTAACATAACAGTTTAAGTGGCTCCTTTAATTAAAATTAATAATATTGTTCAGTAAAATGTTAGTTTTTTTAATAAGCACAGCGCCTCAAATATAAGTTTCAGTTATTTAGCACTGCCGCTGGAGTAAATGAGAGTGCCTGTATACTTCGTTGCCTAAAGTATAATCCATTAATAAGTAGAGCTTCCTGTATTATCAATTAAAATCGGGTAAAACTGGGTCAAACAAAACTTTCTCATTCTTTAAACGTTCTCTACCTTTTAAACTTATACACCGTGATATGTACAACATTGACCTTTAGACGAACTGTGCGTTCATAACACCAGTTTATGACGCTCTAATAATATTGCCCCTGATTAAATCGATTTTATTCAGTTGACGAAAGCATTATTACTTAAAAAGTCTAGCCGTCCGCAACACAACATAATAATTGACACGGTGGCAGTTTGATTCGGTTCCGTTTATGATTACTCTCGGGAGCGCAAATTAAGAGCCCGCCGTTCGCAAATTGTCGTCGGCACCCCCACAAAGGGGTCGGAGATTTACGGAGATGGGCTGTTTGCGCAGCGTGCGCGCGTCGCCGTGTTTCCTGTCATCCGGAGCTCAGTAGCGCCGCCGGCCCGCAGCCGGCCGCTCCGCGATGTAGCCGCGCACCGCCCCTCTCGCAACGAGTCTTCCACACACCGCCTTAGTTTTTTACATTTAGCCGTTAAGAAACCAAGTCTTCCATTAGCCGTAAGTAGCTTTAAGAATGCAGAGGGGCGGGGCGTCGCGTCGCGAGCACAGCAGTAGGGTCGTGTTCGAACGGCTGTGGCGCGGCACCTTCCAGGCGGTGCTTGCGGGGCCGCAGAGGAGGCCCCGCGCGTCCTCGCTCGATCCCAACCCGGAGAGTGCCATCGCACCGGCCGTCATGCCCCAACAGGGTCCCTCGCACGTAACTGACGCTTTAGAGCCGGCCCTCAGGACCCTTATAGCGGGCCTGAGGGGCTCGTGCTGTTGCCGTTGCAACTGCGCCACTGAGCGCGACAGCGTGAACAACAATTTGCAGGTCTGTCTCCCCAACGACGAGGAGAGGAAGTCGATGCGCTCCGTGATAAGGTGGGCAAATCTTAAAGTTTCGAATCGATCGGGGTCGCCGCCTACAATTCGACCCGCTCGACCGCTGCAACAGCGATTTCGTTTATCCGTAATGAATTCTCGCGCGTACGATTGAAATAATTAAACATTCCGACGCTCAATTTCATCTAACAACGCTGTTTAATAATAAATATCGGCGCATAATGCGACTATCAAATTCGACCTACTAGCTTAGTTTATTTATGGGCAAGCAGTTTTCTAAACTTTTGTTTCGTATTTTTAGCGCACTTTGTGCAATTCAGGTAATTATGCGTTCTAAAACGTTGATTCTTAATTAATTATAATCGTTGTTGTTTTTCTTTTTTTTTTTTTTAATAGAAATACAATCCAGATATCGATCTATAATAACATGTAAACACATGTAGCTAAGTAACAAATAGCCGGGGCGAATTAATTTTTCCGTTCCGTGCGATTTGTTTGATGGACGCTAAGCGCCGCCATCTTGAATTCGCATCCCGCCACCCCGCAGCGTTCGCGAGACCCACGCGGTCGCGGCGGCTCAGCAAGAGAAGAATGCCCGTCTACGGGACGCCTTCGGTATATCGCCTGGATTCGTGGAGGGCACCAGCTTGGACCCCGAGCGGCGAGCGAGGCAGGAGGCGCGTAGGTACCCGCTGGTGAGGACGCCCAGCCACGAGAGGGAACAACGCGACACGCACGTGACGAAGAAGAAAAAGAAACGCAGGTACGCGGGCAGTACAGAGGAGGCCGAAGAAGGCCACAGTCGCGTCGGGGTCGCGGAAGATTGTGTCTTCGTGTCCCCGGCTAATGCGATAATATAGGTTGAAAGAAAAAAAAAAGCCGAATAGTCACTATCTCAGCCTGTGTATCGCGCTCACGAAATAAACGATTATTTATATAAATATAAGACTTTCATTTTTTGTTTAACGCTTTCAAAATATGTTTCCAGCGCGTCACCAGAGACGTCAAAGAAGTCCAAGAAGAAAAAGTCCAAGAAGAACAAGAAAGAGAAGTGGGTATCATCGTTTGTTTACGAAACATTTTCATTACTAATTTTCAAATTTTTTTTTTACCTTTCATCGTTTTCGTAAAACAATATTTAATTTGAGTACATTTACATTCAGCCAGGTGACACTTGAGTTGACAAAAAGGCAAGTAAACCTAATCGCATACCGTATAGATATTGTCTTCTACAGTTTGTAGATTGAGGTCACATTTTTTTAATGATTCAAATTAAACATTTCAGTCAAAGAAAAATGTTATGGAAATACATGCGTAGGTATGACACATTTTTTAAGTTTATTTGCCAACGTTACTATAAGCTTTTAAACATTCCTCGGATTATTTGTATAGTACTTGGAGACGTAATTAACAACGGATTACGAAGTATATCTTCATTTATTTAAGGTGTAAGAAAGCTAAAAAATCGCACACGTTCAAAAGTGTCGTATTATCAAAGCAATAGTTCATTTGCTGTTAATAAACGAGAAATTAAAAAAAAACAATTCAACTTTGATTCTAAAAAAGTATTATATCCTCTCAACTTTCACTTTAAGTTAATTTAAATTACAACTTATTCTACATTCCATTAAAACAATATCATGACTCCGTGGCGCAGTTGCCAACGTATTGGCTTCGGCGTCGGGGGTCGTGGGTTCGATTCCGTCACGGGACAACTATTTGTGTGACCCACAGATAGTTGTTTCGCATATGGGTGTTTGTCCACGTGAAATTTATGTTTGTAAAACGTCCTTACAACACAGGATAATGTTGTCTTAAAGTAAGGGCAGTTTTATAAAAAAAAAAAAAAAAAAGAAAAAAAATATATTCTGATCTGAGCTCATTATGCAATTATTATTTCAATATGTTATAGTATCGATTAACATTTATTATTTTAAAAATGTCCAATTTAATTGTGCGATTGGGTTTAAGAAGTAATTAAAAGTACCTTTCAGCACATCAATGTATGTAGTAAGTAGTAAGTAGTGCATATTTATTTCAAATAATGAACGTTATTTGGAACTGGTTTGGAAACAGTAAACGGCATCATAATAATCATAAGAGATCGACAAAATCGAGATCTTACTCTCAAATAGTTGGGAGATAGGGAGCTTTTACAATATTTGTTTATTTTATATAAATACTAATACTATATAATATATATTACGATATAATATATATTATTACTATATAATAAATACTATATAATATATATTATTATAATATATAATACTATATAATATAATAATTATATATTTCACGCCCTGCGAAATATTACCAAAGCTCAAATTTGCATTTATACCCTTCGCTTTGTTTTATTGACTCGCTGTCTCTATTGGTAGTTGGTACAAACTTCAAACTCTAATTCCCGATGAAACTTGAAACTTTACACATAGTTTTAATCTGGGCGACGATGAATCTGATCTTTAGGGTCCCGTTAAGAACTCCGTATTGACGCTACTTTTCCGTTATAAAAAGCTATCATAAAAAACTTTTAATTTACGCACATAACATGTTAAGGATGTATTTATCAATCAGACAAGAGAGCAGCAAGAAGAAGAAGAAACGCTTCAAGTCGCCGTACACAGAGAGCTCTAGCAGTTCAGAGGCTGCGCAGGACAGTGACAGCGTAAGCTCGGACGGTGAAAGGCAGAAGAAAAAGAAAAAGGTATTCACCATTCTCTTCTGTATTACATCACAAATCTTCTTTGCAATGTCACAACGTTTAGAATTTCAAATTAGTCCAGAAATAGGGATGGGGGAAAACTCTGAAAGATTATGTTTTAGCGGCATAGTTATTTTTCAATTTTAGTAAGAATTTTCTTCAGTTTCCCTGTGCATAAACAGTGTCCCAAAAACCAAATGTTCAAGCAATTTTATTAAAGAAATGGACTGTGGTAAATTGGTGGATGTATAAAAAATTAAATTCTTAATCAAATTCCTTCGATATGCTCAAGTATAATCTTTCATTGAGGGAATTATTATATACATGACTTACTGTGTGATTTTCATTCGAGACCTAAAATGGAATTGGGCTTTTCATACTATTATATTTTTTTCCTTTATAATCAAATTGGGATCAAATTTAAAACATCACTGAACCTTCGCAATCCTTCCTCGTGCCTCCCATAAGCGTTAACTGGAATAGATTCTTAGAAGGGATAAACTTTATCTCTATAGCAGTTATATAAGCACACGCTTTAATTTCTTTTTTTTAAATACTTACAAAACACATTGGCGTGAGATTTTACTGTTTTTCATATATCGGCACTATTTAAAGCATCAATTCTGTGGGCCTCATTTGAATACAGAATAAGTGAAAAGTAACTTGTAAAAACACTTTAAATTATACCTTTTTGTAAGTCATTGTTGCGTGAGATAATTGTAGAACTCCATCAATTTGTTTTGTCACAAACTGATACATTGTAAGAAGTTAGTCTCTCCAAAGACTTTTCATTCTATATGGGGTTACTGTCCGATGTGATTAAAACATTTATTTGAATCCTTTTTATTTTTATTTCTTTTATTTTTCTGTAAATACAAAAAAATAGAGAGTAAAAATTATCTGTTTAACTATGCATCATTTCATAGGATAGCCATCTTTATCTGAAGAAATAACGTATACTGTAAGTATATCACAAAACAATAACACTCAGCATAAACACTATGTTAGGTGAATACTAAAATTGTCCGTGTTAAACTTTTTAAATTGCATCACGATTGAAGTTTAACACTTGCGACTAACTAACACTTATATCGTGCAAATCGCGCGATGCATACAATGGGCTACTGTCAGGGTCTTACGTGTGCACAGTTATTTACTTGCATGGTGTTTCGTAGTCCTTACAACAGATGGTGGTTTTGCAATACTATTAAGACGCGTTGCATATAAGATTTGGAAAAATGTGCTTGCTAATTTACCATGATTGTCAAACTTTAAAGCGTACATGGAAAAATGTGCTATTTTACCATGATTTTCAAACTTTAAAGCGCTTTTTATTTGGTCCTTGTAGCCGGATATCAGCATATTTTTCTAAAGTAAATTTAGTGTTAATGTCCAGATTGATTTATAAAAATGTAACTAATCCATAACATTCTCCCTCCTCTCGTTTACTCAAAACTTATTAAGGATGCTCCACATGTTTAAATGGTAGAAAATACCACCACCGTTTGTTATATAAGGTACGTCCAAGAAGTGTTATTTTACATTTGATTTTGTGTAATACTTGTATATATGTATTTGATAACATTTTTTGCAATAGTAATAACATTATGTTATGCCGTTAACTTAGAATAATTTTTTTTAACCAAGCACTGGTGCCAAAATCAGCATTATTTTATTCTCAATTCATTGAGAATGTTATGGATAATAAATGTGACATCCTCTAAATTAAGCACATGTTAACGTTCTGTCGTTGTATTTTATTTTAATAATATTATTATTAAATTTAAAATGCTTTTGTGCGTAGCTTCTATTAATTATGTTTATATGTGGACTAGAGTTGATTGATTTAATCGCCTCTAATTGAGTTTTTTCGATGTTACTGTTTAGAAAAATGCATGTGTAAAAGTGTAATTTCTTTGTTGAAATTCTTCAGCCAATGTTTTCTATCCTATTGGTTATTGAAGGATTTCACCAGTTTTAGCAAAAAAAAATACGTATAATATGGCATAACCACTTAGTTTTCTTTTATTGGCACTGGTGTTTTGATAAAAATTCTTCTATTGAATTTATTAATATGTCGTCAAATTTCGGCAGAAAAACAAGAGTGCCAGACGACGTGCCAGCAGCGTTGCAACTAGTCGCGAAAGGTATTTTTATGCTATGTTAAACCTTAATGATTTACTTATTATTTCCTTAATTAAAAATTATAAGCTAATGTATAACTAATATAATCTAGAAGCCGAGCAGATTTATTTGCGTCTGATAAGGACACGGTGAATACGCTGTGTTTATATATATGTAATATTATTTTGAATAATTAATATTCAGATACTATCAATTTCTTTCAGTTCAACCGTAAAACAAACTAAAGATAAGCATTGGGAAAGGGACAAGGAGCCGAAAGAGGTCAATGCACGAAGCAAAAAGAAAGATGTCGAACGCGATGATTCACGACGCCCCAATAGAGCTAGTCCCAACCGCTACGAGGAACCGTCTAGAACTTCCAGATCAAGGAGACGCGAAGACCGCAGCCTGTCTGAAGAGGATGCAAGGTCATCACCGGAATACAAGCATAAGTCCTACGTGACCAAAGTCGCCAATAAAAACCACGAACCGATGCGAAACGACGGTGAAAAGCCGAAAACATCGAAACGCAACCGAGCCAGGTCTTATTCAGAATCGGACGCGGAAGAACCAACTAGGCACAACAAGGAGAAAAGGGACAAGAAACACTATCGCAGGGAGACAAGCGATTCGCCGCCGCCTGTTAAGAGGAAAAGAAGGAGCCCCTCAGTCGACAGTTTAAGGCACGACTCGCGTCACAAAGACGCAGACCGGAGCGGAGACAGCTATAGAAGAGAGGAGTCCAATCGGCAGGAGAGAAAAATCCGTAGAAGCGAGTCGTATGAGCGCAAGAATGAGAAAAAGCAATCAAAGGGAAAAGACGAACGGTATAACAGGAAGCAATACGACGACAGGTGCGAATCAGGAGACAGTCATGAGGAGCAACCTAGAAGGAAACGGCAGAGGAGCGGCTCGAGAGCTCATCGCGACTCCTCGGCCGAATACCAACAAAGAGAGGACAACAAGAAATCTACGCGCAAGGAGCCAGAGAGATACTATAAAAACACCAAACCCACGAATAGATCTTCGCCCTCAAGCTCAGATTCGGAGTCGCCGCCAAGACGGAAGCCGGAGAAAACTGTAAAGAGCAAAGTGCGTTATCACAAAGGGAGAAGCGTTTCACCGCCAGCGAGGGAGAATAGTAGGATGAGCTCCTCACCAGTGCGCAAGGGACGTGACACGTCACCTGTTAAAAAGCGAGACGTGTCTCCGAGGAGGCGCGATTCGTCGACGCCAAGAAGACCCGATTCCTCACCGCCTAGGAAGCGCGATTCATCACCACCGAGGAAGCGCGGTTCATCACAAGCGAGAAAGCGCGATTCATCACCACCGAGGAAGCGCGATTCATCACCACCGAGGAAGCGCGATTCATCACCACAGAGAAAACGTGATTCATCACCACCGAGAAAACGCGATTTATCACCACCGAGAAAGCGCGATTCACCGCCACCGAGAAAGCGCGATTCACCGCCAAGCAAGCACGAGCTACCATTACCAGTGTCATCACCCCCGAGAAGACGCATTTCCCGATCGCCGAGTAGGCGTGATCCTTCTCCGGCGAAAAGGCGCGATACATCACCGTTACGTAGGCGCGATTCTCCAATTCCAAAGAAACACAATAAATCACCCCAAAAGGGCCGAGACTCTCCCCTGAAGCGAAATTCGCCAATTGGAAAAAGCAAAGATGAAAAATATAAAACATCGGTGAAGAACCCAGAAAAACGCGAAAGCTCTAGATCAAAGAAGTCACCGACGCCGGACGAAAGATCAATTCGTAAAGACAAATCGAGGTCCCCATCGCCAGCGAAGAAGAAGGGAAAAAAGGACAGAGAGAGAAGTAGCACACCATATAAGAAGACAAAAAAATCACAAGAGAGGCGTTCTTCTACTCCCAAATCGGACCATAGGGATAAACAAGAAAAGGAAAGAAAAAAAGATAGACGAGAATCTCTCATGGAAAGGTCAAGGTCGCGTTCAATCAACAGAAGCCGAAGCACATCGAGCCTTAGCTATTCCCCGGCCAGGCGAAGCCCAGAACGCTACAGGGATATCATTGAAAAGTTACCAGAAAAAGATAAGAGGAAATATATCAAGTCACCATCGGACCTGAGACCGAAAAAGAAGAAAAACAAAAATATCGTCGAGAGCTATAAACCAAAGGCGGTGTGCATGAGGAGTTCTTCCAGTGAGAACGACGATTCCGAGGACGACTTTCTAAGATTGGATGACAGGGCAAGGCAGGAAGAAATAGACATAAAGGAGCTAAGCAGGCTGAAGGAGAAGCTTGCACAGATGGCGAAGGCTGCCATTGAAAAGAAAAGGACAGACGATATAAACGCCTCCACATCGCAAACGAGCAGAAACGCGCCGGTGCTAGAAGGCGGCCCATCGGCCGAGAAAGTCAACACGAAACCGCCGCAGCATGCCACCAAAAGCCCGGAAAAAGTCAAACCGACGAAGGACAGAAGTCCGGTAAACTTGGACAGTTCACCGGAGCTGAAGAGGGCGAGGAGCAGATCGCGGAGCTGGTCGCGCTCCTCTTACCGTCGTTCGCGCTCGCGGACACGATCGAAGTCACGGTCCCGTGAGAAATCGCGGTCCCGCGATAAATCCCGGTCCCGCGAGAAGTCCCGATCGCGGGAGAAATCGCACTCGCGTGCAATGTCGCGATCCAGGGACAAGTCGCGATCCCGGGATGAGTCGAATTCCCGTGCGAAGTCCACCTCCCGTGGCAAGTCGTCACGCTCGCGCTCCAGGTCGCGATCACGGTCGAGATCGTCGCGTTCGAGATCCCGCTCATATTCCTCCTCTAGGTGAGTTATAAATGAAACACCCTTGACACCGCTTCTCGGCCTTTTGGCTAAGATCAAAGTGTAGAAACACCCTTGACACGACAAAAGTAGTTAAGTTCCAAAAACTAAATACTCATCAGACAAGTAAAGGCAAACCTTATTGTTGAAGTACATACAGCCCATTTTCAAACATTGATGCGAGATCAATGGATAATGTTATGAGTACTTGTTCTTTCTCTCATCTAAAATGATTTTTCCAGCTTAAATTATGAATAAACTTTACCACTTCAAGTCCATTTCTCTTAAATTGTAAAGTCCACGTATCTAGTCCAATGTAAGGAGTATAAATATGACCTTAATATAAATATATCAAGGCTCGTTCTTATTCGCAGGCGTTCACGGTCGAGCCGCTCCAGTTCGTACAGCAGCAGAAGTTCGTCGAGATCTTCACGTAGCTCCTCCAGATCCACACGTTCCTCCAGGTAATGCAAAACAATCGCCACCTCTTCATTAAATCGTTTTGTATTTGTCATTTTTGTTTGTTTGCTTTCGGTGAGTTTTTTTAGTTCCCAGTAAGAACGACAACATGACGAATGTTGCCACCTCTCACGTCTCGTGTTTAAACAAAGAAAAACGCACATTCACTGAGCGTTCTTGCCGACGGAACTCACCGAAACCAACCGCCACTCGGCAGCCGACTAACGAAATTTCTGTTTCCCGCATACGAAACGTAAATAAACAAACCAACAACCGATCGACACCACCAAAAAAAACATACCGCTCGGAACGGCCCGGACCGACCGCACGCATGCATGCCAACGTAACGTACAGAACAATGACGGGCGTGTACGCCGATTACCGTAGATCGAGCGCGACGCGCGCTCGCACACGCTCCCGCTCGCCCTCCATACCGCGCAGGGCCGGCTCGCCCAGTTTCTTGGATAGGAGGCGCATCACGAGGTACCCGAACCGACGGCCGTACAGTGCTTTAGGGCTGCCCGCGCCGTTTTACACGCGTCGGCCGTGATGCTTTTTTCTTTTCTTTTCTTTTTTTTTTTTTTTTTTCTATCGGCATTACAAGATTTATCGTGTGCCAGCCAGTTTGGAGGTTAGCGATCGCGATGCTGCATCGCGTACGGGCCACATCGATACGATGTATCGATACTTTGTTGTGAGGGGCGACTTATGGGAATCGATATCCTAGATGAAAGTGACTACGGTTAATTACCAGTTACTCGCTTGATAATATTCCATTTATAACAAATTTCATTATTTTGCTATTATCGTTTTGGTTACTATAATGAGTTGATGATTTTGTAGTGAACGTCTTTTTTTTTTTTTGTCTAAAAAATTTGCCTCCGAAAAATTACATTGGGAATATTACAAAGTTACTTAAAGCACTGTATCGGACTAATATAGGGATTTTTACAGAAACGATAATGATATGAATAGTAAATGAATTCGTCATCTTTACGCATTATTCTCTATAAACTTTCAAATCTTGCAAACATATCAGTATTGTTTCAAGTGTGATGTAGTACGTTTTAACCTTTTCGTGTGTGCGCTTTTTTACAATGCTAATTATGTTTTTATATTATTTTGCCGCGACTGTACCACAATGCAATGTTCAAATTAACAAAGAGTTATGTTGTGGTATAGCGTTATTTTACTTCCTGCAGTTTTATCAAAACATTTCCTTTTCTCTTTTGTAGAAAAAAGTCACGAAATTATAGCACGAGTTCAGAAGACACCAGTAGTAGCTCCAATTAGTGCAGTGCTATAGACTAGTTTCGGTTTAAGTTGATATGTATTGTATAATTTTTCATTATTTAAGACCTAATTTTTCTATTATATATTGCGAAATAATTCACACAGTGTTTATGCATTTAGGGTTTAATTCGTGGTTGAGATACGTTTTTGGTCGCAATTTGCACTTTCATCGTTCCTATTAATTTTTTGTTTTTCAATAATTCATCATTCTTCCATAAGTACTGATGTTACACAAAATTTCTGTTTCCCAATCAAAAAATAAGAAAAATAAAACATAATCAAATCTTACTTACATATGCAAATTAACGATCCAATTTCGTAAAGTTATATCGAATAATATGTGAAATTATCCTTACTATAACTTTATACAATAATGTTAATATAAACTTAGTTTCAATGTCAAGTCCTTATTATTATTATATTCCATCTGACGAACGTTATTTCTGAACACTTCTATCCATTCACTTGGGTTACACGAAACATTTTTCAAGGTGTTAAAAATTAAATCCCATTTTTCATCATTTTTAACCAAATACTAACAGGGGTGTGCTACTTCAAAATGTGGCTCTAAACATTGTAAAGTTTACCTTGTCTGCTTTGATGTCTCTAAGCCTTAACGACGCATCGTTCCGAATAATTTGTATTATATTAATGTCTTTTTTTTTCTCCGTAGCGCACCCATAATAGATCTTACGTATGAAACAAACAAATACAAATATAGAAGAAGACGGTGAACGATGACATTTCAAAGATGATATTTCAGTAATTATATTCACTAAGCGATTACTTCCAATTGACCGACAGACGTAGAAAGTGTGTTGCCATTTCTCAGTGGACATTAATTTCAAGTGTTTATGTTTCAACTATATCAATTCATTTGTTTTTATCGCATTAAAGTTTATTTTGAAATTTTTTGTTCTTTTTATTTTTTTTTGTTTGCATGCTAGATATGTACTGATTATGCATCCAAACACGTTGTAGAATACACTTCAAGAAAATAATTTTATATTTTTTCTTTCAATTTTCTATAAAGCTAGTTTGGCATTATCACTACAAGTTTAAGAGGTAAGCCATAAACTTTCTTGCATATTATTTAGAAAAGCATGGTATACTTACTCGATAATCTAATAAGTTTAGATGATTCCAACAAAGAGATTATTAATTATTACAAATTTTGGGCAAAATCAAGCTCAATTTTTTGCAGAAGTATAAAGTCCTGTTAAAATATTTTTTATTAATATCGTAAATATAATTAATTAATTTATAACTTTCCCCATCAAAATGTTCAAAATTTATATGTACTACATGTACAAAATGAATTTCAAAAATTATCGAAAAAAAAAAGCCTATCGAGAAAGGAATCATACTTGTGCCTGTTGAATATAAAATATTTTTTTTTTATTAAAAATAACCATGCATGTCTCTTGTTAACACCGTACTAACATTCACGCATGTGCGCTAACACATTAACGGTGTGGACAGCGCGCGAAAACGCCCGATACCGTATCGGAGGCCGACGCCATCGTCTCCAAGCACCCAGAGCTACTACAGCAGCAGGTCATCCCAAAGGAGCTGGAGCAGATCTCCGAAGCCGGAACGGGATTGAAGACAATGCAATCAGAGCCAGATTTAGAGGTCTGTAGGCATCGGGGCATCGAACGAGGCACCTTAGACCCAAATTATTTTCTATTGATTTCTGTTAATGTCTAATGTAATCATGTTTGTACAAAATACTGTAGGAAAAAGTAAAACGCAAAAAAAAATATGAAAGGAAAAGTTGTTTACTATTGTTTGTCTAAATTTTAATTTTTTTTTGAAGTCTATTGCGGGCGCCCCTCGTTTGTGGAGGCACCGGGGCTGTTGCGCCCGTTGCCCACCCCTAAATCCGGCCCTGAATGCAATGTCAAATTCGTAGACATAAAACCATTCACTACAATGCAGTCGTATTAACAAGAGTTCGGAAACAATAACAGAATATATCTAAAGAGCAATCAATACAAATAAGTAATTGTAGTAAGTGATTAACACAGCTTGCACTCTTGTCTTCTAAGAAAGCTGCATTATTTGAGAACATGTTCGAATCCCACTGAAGTTTGAACGTTTACCGCTCTCCCATCGGTGATATGACCGAACGCATTTGTGATACTGTGTTTGTCATTTACATTAATTTCTTTTGATAAAGAATCTCATAGTCATAACGATATTTATAAAGAGACATAATGGTAAATTCTGTTGTAATGCATGAGCAATAATAACAATGAAATATTGTTTATAGAGATTATAAATTAGTTAAATGGCAAGCATCATACCTTAATGGAATCTAGGACTCCAGAGGACGAAAAACGTTCGATAGATCTCGGATAATTTACTTTTTTATCGATTTTAAAGTAATTATATATTATACACATTCAAGAGTTCAAATACTCAGTGGCAAAATAATGTTATATGGCATTTATATTGGTAATGTGTGTTAAAAGATAATTATGGTAGTTACACGATACCCTTTTTTTCATGCAATACTCTTTTTACATTGCATTAAAAACATTCCAATTATTATGCTATTTACATAATTATTTATAATAAATTAAGAATTATTTATAAATTTATAGAATTTTAGGCCAAAGACTAAATTATTTTAATATCTTGAACTACCTACTTGTATATAAATTGTACTACAACAATTTCATAAAAATTATAGGAATGATAATGCCGCATAGAATTTGTGTTTCCAATCGTGTTTAGTTTACATATACACACTTATTTTGTTGTACTGTTTTATCTTGTTGATAATATTATTTAACTCAATTTTACGTGTAGGTATGAAAACGTACCAAAAATACTCTAGTCTTAAATGTAGTGTATAATTTAAATAATTATCTAATTTAGGTTATGGTGCAATATATTTATTGACAACATTATATTTACACATTTAAATTATTGTACTAGTCATTTATAGCTTGCCATTTATTTGCTTCTTTTGGGGACGGTTTTTATAAACTACCCTTACGCTCGTATATTTTTAGAACTTTTTTAGTTATAACCCTTCTAAAAATATGCGAGTGTTTATAACACGGTTAGTAATTATCCTTGTGAAATATTTATTAATCTACTTAAACATGGAGCAACGATATCGTAATTATTAAAGTACGGAGTAATGAACCACTCACAAAGCGCTAGATTTTAAATTCCGCATTTTTTGAAAAAAATTTTTCGACATATTTTAATATTTTAATTCCGCATTTTTTTTAATTCATCTGCTTACTGATCTTGATCTTTGTCTATAATGGATGCAATTTACAATTAAAAGCTACTTTTTCGTCTTAATGTATGTCAGACAATTTTTAATCTGCATTATTGTACATAAATACTGTGAGACTATGTTAATTTTATTTTGGTAAGCAATAAAGTGGATGTGAAATAAAATTGAAAAACTTTATCAATGGTTTATATTACAATAATTAATCGAATAATGCGAATCAAAACCATAACGTAGGAACATAGGAACAACATTTGTTTCTTGAAAAATGATATTATTGTTCTAATGTTTATTAATATAGAAAGGCAGTGAAAGATTTCAAATAAATAGTGTACTCTTAATGATTAGAATCGCTGTTGTCAAATCAAATAAATTAAAATAATGACATAGATAATATCAATCTCTTTAATTTAACCCTTAGTTTCTTTGTTTTTTTTTTTCCTAAAAATACGTGGCATTAATCTTACGCTCTTCATATATTTTATCGCAAATTTATAATGGTGATATTTAAAGAAATAATACACGTAATATTACTTAAATATTCATAATCGTTTTTTTTACTAACGACAAAACCGACATCAAATATCTCGCTCATTTTATAACTGATTTTCAGGAGTTCTCTAAGTATCTCCAGAGCCCAAGATCCAATACCAATGAAATTAATATGCGACCACATGGGAAACGCCAGCTTTCAAATAAAAAGGAATTATCAAAATCGGTTCACTTAGTCAAAAGTTCTGAGATAACAGACATAAAAATACAGTCGAATTGAGAACCTCCTCCTTCATAAGGGGAAGTCTGTTAAAAAAGTCAATCCGTGTTACTGTTCGTTCATATATGTATAAAGTCCGATACAAAAGAGTTCGTTTACTACATAAAATTAAACCGAAGTGTTTCAAAGTGAAATAAAACTAGTATTTTTAATTAAAAGATGTCTATTCCCTCTGTGGTGCAGAAATAAATTATATCTTAATTGTAATTTAAACACAACGATGAAATACGCAGTAGAACAAAAGTAACCGACATAGCTCAGAAGGTTAGTAAGCTGAAGTGGCGATGGGCGGGCCCTATAGCTCGCAGAATCGATAACCGCTGGGGAAGAAAGGTTCTCGAGTGGCATCCTCTAACTGGCCATCGCAGCGTAGGACGACCCCCACTAGATGGAGTGACGACCTGTGCAAATGTGCGGGAAGTCTATGGATGCAGGTGGCTCAAGATTGTGCTATGTGGCGGTCTTCAGCAGTGGACTCAAACAGGCTGAAATGATGATGATAATGATGTAATTTAAAAAAATATATTTCCTTCATCAATGTCAACGTACAAACATCGAGGCTATTGCAGTTGAACACTTCCCAAGTGGGACTTGGTTGTATCTACTTTATTCTCAGACAGCTTTGATCCGTAATAGCTACGTCGCTACCTGCTCTTTTTGAAGTAGGAAATCCAATAACGAAAGGACGCCAACGGCAACAATCACTAAGACTTAATTACAACAAACAAACAATTATTAAGACTTATATTTTTTTCAGCCTAATACTGTCTATAATATTCTACAACATCAAGCTTAAAATTTATCCGATAAATAGAAAATGACAAAGATGATGTTCATAACTACAAACTTAAGGTTAAGTTCATAACTACTTCTCAAAAAAACTGTTTTTATTCATTTTTATTAAATAATTAATGCTACGGTACTTTTTTTTTAGCTATGTATGTCGGTTACTACCAAGAGGAATTGTAGTCTAGCAGTAGTTAGGCCGTGAGAAAAAAACTTATCTACTCGAGACTTCGTGCAATGTCTAAAAATTAAAAAGAAACCGGCCAAGTGCAAGTCGGACTCGCGCACGAAGGTTTCCGTACCAACATGTATAAAAAACGGCATAAAATCATGTCTCTTGTAGGGGAGCCACACTGAAATATTTTTTTTATTCCGTTTTTTAGTATATGTTGCTAAAGCTGCAACAGAAAAACATCATCTGTTGAATAGGGATGCCGAAAGTTGTGTGTTTCGAGCACGATGAAGAGAAAATATGAAGAACAAGATCCTTTGCTTTCTTCCTGGGTTTCCAGAGCTAAGTAGGATCCTGAAGTTGCATTTTGCAAAGCTTGCAATTGATTGTTGCAAATATTGTGGTTGTGACTAGTTTTGCATTTTGCAAAACTAGTCACAACCACATCAACGCTTGCAGTTGTTACCAAAAATTATTCCGTAAAAGATTTTCAAATAGAAACCGAATTTTTAACGTCACTTTGCACTTAAAAGGAGTATCAGCCCAAGCTTTGTTTGATACACTTTCCGGCGCTTTAAGCAATGCTAACCCTAATATTAAAGATGCAATTATTAACGTTATCTTTGGCGAACAAGTTGATATAGTTGCCAAAATAAAACGTGTAAATCCCAATTGCATAATCGTTGTGTGTATGTCATTCTACTGCTTTGTGTGTATCTTACGCCAGTAAAAGTAAAAACTATACCGAGTATTGAGAATAAAATTTGACAAGTGTGGGCGATTTCTTGGAGTCTGGTGGGAGAAGCACAAGTACAATTTTAAGTGTGGACAAATTCGTGGGGAGCGATTCGTAAAATGCGTGATGCGAAAAGAACTGCAAACTTTTCAAAAGCTCTTTTAAGTTTTGTCTGTGTCAAATGGGGAAAATTGAGGGTATAAGATCTAGAGGCCGTCATCCTAGACGAATCAAATTTCTGAAAACCTAGAAATCCCCATGAGCGTTGCACTTCACCAGGCGACAGAGCAAAACCAATAGAAACAGCTCGTTGACAAATTGAATATGAATCACGATCCTCAGAAGTGAGGGAACGACCAAGAAGATGTCAAATTCCTCATACGAAATAATGTCTATTTCATTAATTATGATACTGTACTGTCTCCAACTACTTTTTGCTAGTGTCGGACAGATTCGCCATTTTTGATGGTCACCAAAGAGTACTTTTATATATCTGAATCTATCTTTTATATATCTCATGGTCACCATGAATAGGAGATGGCATGGTCACAACGACCATGAACGCTGGAAAGGGATAAAAATAAAATTAAAAGGAGATAAAATCCGTATAAGTTTCATTTACGTATAATGTTCGCATAAAAACAAGAAATCAATAGTTATTTTTCTTCTTTAAACTAAAGAAGTATAACTTCTTACGTCCGTACTAAGTACACACGTAAGAAGTATTATAGTCAGTAGAAGTCATATACGATAATATTTACATTAGTGACCTGTGTGTTTGCGATAAGCGACCAAACACCAATTTTATAGGAGAGGCAAAAATGCGTGGAGTAAATCATTGAGTGCATTATTGAATATCATATACGATTGGATATTTTATTAAATAGGCACCGTAGGACTTAATGCTTTATACTATTGTGTACAATTTGTCTTTTCGATTTTAATGCTATTATAAGAAAAATAATTTTGAAAAATGGAGTTTCTATTGTATGCCTCAGAGGTATAGAAATGTTCTTACCTAATAAATTTGAAATCACATATAATGAAATTTACCTCCTTTATGTTCATCAAGCTTAAAAGTAAAAAATATATTCTTTTTTGATCGAAAATACAAAAAATGTATATGTGAAAAAACATTCAATGTCTTTCTAAAGTGTGTAAAAGTACAGTGTCAATCCTAGAAGATTCATTTATACGTCTAAACATACATTCTAAATTTCTTTTTTTTTTTGTCCTACGTCGTATTGCTTTTCATGAAATCAATATTTTATAATATAGATATACCATACCAATACGTATTTCCAAATGGTGACAGAACACGTTTCGTTCGAATAGTATTAAAGGATAGCATAATAATTATAGCAATAAGAAAAAAGAGGATGGTAAGTGTTTGTCACTTTAGCTTTAAATCTTGATGTGTACGTATCCATCTACCTTGTCCACATATCGATACCTTAATTGGCAAACCAGCTAACTCCACCTTTGGTCAAAAATATTCTTTGGCTTTGTTTGTACGCAATAATAATTCCGCTTGATTTGCAAAAACAATAACTCTGATATAATCACTGTTTCTTTCTATAAATCGCTATTCGGAAATCAGCCAACTCCGCATGTCACGGAACGTTACAATTTTAACAGCCAACTCCACCAAGTCGGCTATTTCGTATGGCGTCCGAGTCATGTACGGTTACCGCCCTACGTTATTTGGAAAAAAAATTATATAAACGCAACAAAAGGAAAGGTAGTGTTGAAAAACAATTGAACATTAATACACAGTATGGATACTTATTTTATTTCTTACAAAACATTGCTAGGTAATTGAGCAATTCTAAAATTTAATATTGGCATTGAGTTGTCTGGCTTGCTTCTTACTTTATTACGCTACGGTTGGAAGTTATACATTTTAAAGTTTATTAAAAATTGAAATTAAATTTGAAGATACCAATAAACCTGACTCTTTTCTGGTTCTTAATAACCAATTTTCAAAACCATACGATGCTTTGGTTGGGCATGATAGTGTAGCTTCTAATTCATCGAATTTATTTGTGCAAGTGTGCGGGAAGTCGATGGATGCAGGTGGCTCAGGATCTTACTTCGTGGCAGTCTATGGGGGAGTCCTGCGTTCAGCAGTGGACTCAAACAGGCTGAAATGATGATGATGATGATTTGATAACAACGTTTATTGTATTGGAAATGAACTGTCTGCCATAGAGTATACGCAAACATAATTATGAAATTGTTGTTAATGAAGACATATTTCCGTTTGATAAAGAACAATTCAGTCCAAGTTTGCTATCTGGTCACCTTACAACATCACTTAAATACAATCTTGAAAATGCCTCTAAGTTTTAAGCCAGCTCACCTCTCTACAAGTAATGATAAATCGGATAACGATTAGGCCGTTCCTTTGATACAGAAACTACTAAAAAGTCATGAAACTAGACTACTGTAAGTAAAAGAGAAATAGTGTTATCCAATGTCATAATATTTCTGAAGATGAGGGAAAAATATTATTTGATAATTTTTTAAATATGACGGGATAAAAAACGAATTTACGTTGATAGTTTAATAAAAAATTTAGATACAATTAGGCAAAGAGATAGGAAAGACCCTTAAAATGTAAAAAAGTTAACGCTTTTATATACCACCCTTCAAAACGTGTGTATTTATGATATGAAAACCAGAGATGGGTGTTCCTTTCTATGGAATGAAGGCAAAGGCTGAGTTCTGATTAGTTTGCAACGATTTTAACCAATTTTTTATCAAGAAAACCAGCTAACTCCCAGATCACATACTTTTGCACGAAAGAAAAAACGGATAACTCCTAAAAAACGCTGTAGTATGGTAATGAAAATGTATAATGGATTTTATAATATCAAAAATGACAATGTACGATAATATCTACCAACTATATTTTAGATTTTCTCATAAGTAGTGTAAAAAAAATATTATACAGTTTTAAAAAACTTGCCCATATGGAGTTAGCTTGTTTGCCAATTAAGGTATCGATATTAAACTTATTTGCTGCCTTTTAAAACATTTCTGTAGTATAAAGTATCATTGCATGAAATTAAAAAAAAATGTATCAACTTTTGTAAGTACCATCATTTAATAATTAAATTACTCATAAAATCATCATTAAATAATTTAATAACTCGAGGAAAAAATAAAATTTTGTCAAACGTTAAAAAATTTAATATACATAGATTCAATCAATCAATCTATATTCAAATAGACGCTCGCGCGTTCTTCAAATTTTAATCGCGAATCGTCAAATTTTACATAAAAAATTATACATACTTTTTTTCAAGGACACATTTTTACACAACATTCTCTACTCCCAAACTAAGCAAGCTAAGCTTGTACTATGGGACCTAGAAAACTGATAAACATACTTTTATTTTGTAAATAAATACATATTATACATATATAAACACCCAGACACTAGAAAAACACTATGTTCATCACACAATATTTTTCCAGTAGTCCATACCTTCTGGCGCAGGAGGCAGGTACACTACCCACTACGGCATTCGGGTCGTCGATAGGTTTTATATATGTTTAGGTTCGTAAGGTGCCACCGGTTCGGAAAGCAGTTTCTGTTGAGAAGAGACCGGCAAGAAACTCAACAGTTGCTCTTTTTCAAAAATAATTATATATATACCAGAATCGCATAATTTGTAAACTTAATATATTATTTATATCTTGTTAGAAGCACTTAAATAATGCTTCTAATCTCAAAGCATACATTAAAATGTATTTTTAACTTATGCTTTTTTTCGTGGTGTCCGATTCAAATATATGTATATCAGAATGAAAAAAAAAACTAATAGAAAATATATTAAGTTTCTTCACAGCCTCATAAATGCAGCCGTATAAGTTTTACCAGTCCCTGTATATTTTACCCATCTATATAGAATGATGCAATGGGCAAATAAAAAACATGAAATGTTTATTTGCGACTGACATAAAAAGGATTTTCCACCACCTTTTGATTGTATCAAGGCTGAATATTAGTCAAAAATCTTAACATTTAATTTTTGGCGTCTTTCTTCTGATTTTGTTCCCGCCTTTTTGTTGCAACAAACATCGCCCAACCGAATCCAACAAGATTCATGAACAAGACTCGTAACTGTAATAAAATAAAATAATTTTTATATAATTAAAAATTAAGTACAATGAAAAAAATATATACCTACGTCACAAATTTAAAGTGAAACTAAAACAAAAAATATATTTAATATAGAAATTTACCTCATGAGTCATGATAGCTTTTTTTAATTCAATATACTCGAGTAACCAGAGTTCGATATCGATGCCGGCACCAATGAAATTGTTAATTTTAAGTACTGACTTATCAAATGCTCAGCGGTGAAGGAACGGCGGTGCGGATAACATCGTGAGGAAACTTGCATATTTTCAAAATAATACAAAATAATATAAAACAAAATAATTCCGAAAATATCTGAAGTCTGCAGTGGGGTCGCATGGTGGACTATGCCCGATATTAAAGGAAGCTTTGCCCAGCAGTGGGACATATATAGGCTATTACTTTACTTTACCTCATTCACTACTAAACACGAAAGAATAATACTTCCACTTTACTTGAATGGGCAGGCTTGTGCAAGGAAGTACCATAGTATCTTCTGTAAGACACCAGACTCCGGTATATTCTGTAAGACTATGGTACTTCTCCCACTCTTCCGTGCTATTTGAGCAACAGCTAAAGCTGTTGCATTGTGCTTCATAAAGCTTTTATATACTTATACTGTATTGGTCCTCAATTTTTATTTTCGAAGTTTTGCTGTATAGTTTTTCCCCCATCATAATAAATTTATTCTTTATGGGAAATGACAATATGAGATAAATATTTCATGAGCCCACCTACATGATACAAATACGGAGCTAATAAATATCAAGTTAAGGAAAAAGCAACTTATTCCTATTGATGTTTTATAGTTTTATGAGTGCAGTTTATAAACAGGAATCTTAATTTATAGAAATAAATCCTTTCCTTGTTCACTTCTTGCGATTAATATTATTGCTAGTACACTCACAGTTTTTGTCACCTAAATACTAAAATAAGTATTTAGCTTACAAATATATTAATAATATTTGTTGTAAAAGTATGTTGATAAAGAATAACTAAGTAAATAAGCCTATGTATCATTTTGCTCAAGTACACTATCAATGTAATAAAAACAAGCACCTGGAACAGAGAGCTATCTGTGTTTCTAATGGGAAATTTTCACCCCATAATGTCCCCCAATTTTGTGAGGAGGCAAAAGGTGGTACAATATGTATTTTTTTCATGAGTTGGCTTAAGTGTTTTAAATAATAAGTGTATGAAACACATTTCTTGGATTCTTAGCCAGCAGTCTAAAAGTTATTGATTAAAGTAAACAAATTGAACAATGAGGACATTATAACAAGCAGTAAAAATATTAAATTTATATAATAAAAGAGAATTCAAAAGATTTAGGTGTACTTCGGAAAGACAAAAGATTTAAAAATAAAATAAACATTTAGAAATGAAATAAAATAAAACTTACCATGGGTGGAATGAATGCTAGGTTAATAATTTGAAATAGTGTAAGCCACTTCCAATTAGCTTCCAGAACTGTAAAATATAGCAAAAATAGCTGTTTCACTGCAGCTTTATGATTCTTTCCCTCAAATCTTGACAATGTGTACAATGAAAATGCTTGCATAATCGGTGCAAAGATTATTCTTTCAAATATCAATTTCTTAGCAAGTGGGAATGCAACAATTTCTTCTGGGAACATTCTTTCTAGTAATTCATAGAAATAATGTGGTATTGTTCCTCCAAAAGCTAACCTACAAAAAATATATTACAGAAGAGAAATATATGGTACATACATTTAGATTCTTTATTTTAAACATAAAATATATATACATTTGTTCAACTTTGTCTTATACATTGAAATTTACTATTAATCATTAAATTGCTTAATGAAGAAATACAAATGAAAGCAAACTTCTATGAAAGCAGTTTTTCATTGTATGTGTGAAGAGGTTCTGGTAATCTTTCAGGCAAGGCAACTTAGTAAGAATACCAGTCTCACTTTGGGAAATGAAGAAATCGAATATATTTATACTTATTTTTTTTTTAAAAACATGTCCATATCATGTTTCCACATAATATATACAGATATTAAGACAACTGCAATTTCAAAAACTTCCTATAGTATCAGCATTTTACTTTAGATTGGAGTTTCTTATTAAATAAACAATTTGATTTTATTCATGTTGCGGATATGGATGTAAAATATTAAGACTTGTAGTCAAGGGGAATGAAATGACAAAGATGCTAGTGCCAACTGTTAGGGTAATCATACCCTAAACACATACACAGTAAAGGTCTTCTACTCCTCGTTTTGAGTTTTTTTTTTTAGTTTAAAAGGGGTAATACTGAATTTTAATCGTCCTACTTTTAATTGATACATTCACTTACCCATAGAGACCGAAAGCCAATACTGGGTCTAATCTCAAAGATTGACCTGCTACAAGCTGTGATGCTATGCTTCCAGCAGAGCCAACTACACAGCTGAAATCACAATCGAGTTTCTATTGAATATGATTAAGGCCAGCCACATTACAGTTGATATATTCATTATTTAAATCTTTATCAATTTCGGTATAGATTTTCCAAAACGAAAAAGTTTACGATCATTATTTAATAACTTCAATGTCATTGTAATGTTAGGACAGTTATGAAAAATAATAATATTTGAATCAACTCGATGCTAATTAAAACATCGCGACGAAGGATATCAAAGTCCACTTCCGAATTAGAAACGAACAATGTTACAAAAGCAATACTTTTTATATAAGTGAAGAATACCTGGTTAAAGCTTTTGTTTTTATCGGATGCAAATATAAGTTTTGTAAATAAGAAGCTATAAGATTCATTACTGGCTTCGATAGAGACATAATGCGAGTTTTTTGACTCGTGGAAATAAGTTATATACAGAGTACAAAAATAAGAGATATTAAATAAAACGACCCCACGACCAAATTAAAAGGCGATAGCCTAGCTCTGATAGTGATAAGTGATAACAAAAGTTTAATGAGATATTGATAACAAGTTAACAACAGAACAGAGTTAGCAGGCAGCAGACTTTGGTAAACAGTAGTGTTCCATATCGATAGTCTGCTATCAACAGACATTAGACAATCGATTATCTATCGATAGTTAAGGTAAAAGCAATAGTATCGATAGTCTATTGATAGTATTGTCACGTGTCAATACTGTCGATACTACCAATAGTATCGATGGCTGGTGCCAATACTATTGTTAACAGCAATACTATCGATAGACTATCGATACTATCGATGATTTTGTACTATCAATAGCCTTTTACTGGCTATCGATAGTACAAACCTATCGATAGTATCGATAGGTTTTGTCATAACTAATGGAAATTGCAATACTATCGATAGCATCCATACTATCGCATGCACTACTATCGATAGTACTACTGTTATCAATAGTATTGGCACTTGGAGAGCCATCGATACTATAGGCAGTATCGACAGTATTGACTTAGACAATATTATCGATAGTACAATAGATATCCTGAATAGTTTTCGAGGTCAACTATCGATAGTCAAACTATCGATGGTTGTGCAACACTAGTAAACAGCCAAACATTTATGAAGCGTATGAACAGAAATCATAGATAAGACATATATACAGAAACAATAAAAGTACTAAAACCAACATAAACGGACAGAGTAACAACTAACAATATTTAACGGTAGTAAGGCCACGCAGCATTCTCGGCTGTTGCACGAATTGGCAGACTTCCAGGTAAGTACCACGGAAGACCGGCGTAAAGTGAAAGTATAATCCTTTCGCGTTTCGTCTGGCGAGTGAGGTGGCCGGAGTCCAATTTTCAAAAGGTTGTCAACGCATCTGGAACCCTCAAGTGTTTCAGATATCGGTGTGCGGCGGTATTCACTTAATATCAGGTGAACCGTCTGCTCGTTTGGCAACTTTTTACTTAACATCAGGTGAACCGTCAGCTCGTTTGGCAACTTTTCACTTAAAAAAAATATATTTATATCCAGTGCTGCCAGCTAATTTAAAAATATGGCCCTAAAATCAAGATGAAAAAGCTCTAAAAATACAATTACCAAAAACCCCGATAATCTCTACTGTAATCAGAGATATTGTTTAAATGAGTTTCAAATTACGTTAAGGTAAATAAATATAACTTAATTTTAATTACTTTTTATTACAAACAGTTGGAGTAATTAATAAAACAACGTAATAGTAACTAAATTCATTAATTAAATTTATTAATAGGCATTTTGCTTTTTTGATGTGAAACATCTAAAGCCGCACGTAAAACCTATTTCTGGCGTAGCGACGCATGCCATAGCGACGCGACGTTATATGATCGTATATATTATACTAGCTGCTGCCCGCGACTACGTCTGTGTAGAGGGGTGAAAATTTAGGGTTGTATGTATTTTTGTATGCTGTGTCATAAAAAATGAAAACAAAACATTTAACCCCTTAACATTTAGGGGAATGAAAAATAGATGTTGACCGATTCTCAGACCTACTGAATACGCATACAAAATTTGGTAAAAATCGGTCGAGCCGTTTCGGAAGAGTTCAAGTTCGAACCCCGTGACACGAGAATTTTATATATTAGATATACAGTCTATATGCAGTAGTGTGTACGATTAATTACTCAAATTTAAATTAATTGTTCATAATTATTAATTAATTAAATTAACTTTAATTAATTGTGTTTACCATTACCAAAGTCACTGATTAAACGAATTAAGTAGTCAGGATTTCAAATAAGTTCGTAAATTTTTGTATTTAAGGAAAATAAATGTTTATTCAATAAATAGTCATCGTTATATTTTATTTTATCAATATGACATATTTAGTTCCTAAAAAAACACCTGTTGTTTTTTTATCTCTATATTACTTTTACAAAATAATGTCGAATTGTCGTTGTTTCACATCTGCCAGGCGTCTCGTGACGGGTCATTTTTATTATTTCCTCATTTTCGTTAGTCAAAATAGACATCACTATTTGAGATATTATTCATGGCCAACATTTTTGGGCCAAAACCACAATATGTATATTTGCACCCTTAAGGGGCTTAAAGCTCTAAGTTGGCAAGGCAAGTCTGTTTCTATCATATAGTGTTATATATCATTGTAACTATTTTGTTTGTATGTTAGAAATGTTAAAAAATATCGATATTCTTGATTATAAATATCGATATATTTTTAACCGATATATTCCGCTCGTTAGGAACGCCAGCAATGCTGGACGAAGAGAAAGCCGAATGCCTAGCTGACAGCCTAGAGTCTCAATGCTCCCCTAGTTTGCTTCCAGTCAGCCCCGAACACCTCCGTAAGGTGGACGAAGAGGTTGAAAGGAAAGCCTTAGAGCCACTTCGCGATCCCGTTCTCCCGGTCCCGTGCTCAGAACTAGCAGAAACCATTAAAAAACTGGGAGGATCGAAATCAATCCCGCCAAGAGCGCGGCCGTCCTTTTTTCACATAAAAACATTCCTAAACCACCCCCCGTTAAACTCATGGATAGTCCGGTACCATGGGTGAACAAAGTTAAATATTTAGGTGTCATCCTCGACTTCCAACCTAAATTCAGCCAGCACGTGACTCGGGTCAAGAACCGGGCGGCCTTCGTACTCGGTCGCCTCCATCCGCTCCTCAACAAAACGTCAAAAATGTCCCTTCGGAACATGGTGACCTTATATAAGGCAGTAGTTCGCCCTATTATGACGTACGCGAGTCCGGTTTTCGCACACATTGCTCCGAAGCAAATACACCGGCTTCAGGTCATCCAAAATCGATTCTTGAAAAAAAAGAAAAAAAAAAAAACGATATATCATCATCATCATTTCAGCCTGCTTGAGTCCACTGCTGAACATAGGCCTCCCCCATAGACTGTCATGAAGTACGATCCTGACCCACCTGCATCCATCGACTTCCCGCACACTTGCACAGGTCGTCACTCCATCTAGTGGGGGGTCGTCCTACACTGCGATGGCCAGTACGGGGCTGCCACTCAAGAACCTTTAACGGTTATCGGTTCTACGAGCTATATGGCCGGCCCATCGCCACTTCAGCTTGCTAATCCTCTGAGCTATGTCGGTTATCTTAGTTCTACTGCGGATGTCTTCGTTACGAACTCTATCATGCAGAGAAATACCGAGCATAGCCCGCTCCATAGCTCGCTGAGCGACTTCGAGCTTCCCCATACGGCCAGCAGTGAAGGACCACGTCTCGGTTCCGTAGGTCATCACTGGCAACACACATTGATTGAAGACTTTAGTCTTCAAACATTGACGTATATTCGACGAGAAGATTTGCCGAAGTTTCCCGAACGCTGCCCATCCGAGTTGGATTCACCGATTGACCTCTGCGTCGAAGTTGGACTTACCTAGCCGGACTGACGGTCCTAGGTAAACGTACTCGTCAACAACTTCGAGCTCAGTGCTTCCAACAACAACCGGTATAGGCGTGACATGGACATTAGAAACGATCTTCGTCTTGTCCATGGTCATTTTAAGGCCCACCCGTTGGGAGACACTGTTGAGGTCATTGAACATAGCACCCAGGTCCTCCAGCGATTCTGCCATGATGACTATATCGTCGGCAAATCGAAGGTGGGTGATGTATTCGCCATTGATGTTAATACCTCGTCCTTTCCAGTCCAGAAGCTTGAAAACATCTTCCAACGCAGCGGTGAAGAGTTTCGGGGATATGACATCACCCTGTCTTACACCCTTCTGCAGTTGGATAGGTTTTGTACTACTGGACTGTACTTGGACGGACATCGTAGCCTTGTTATACAAACACCACAGCACTTCGATATACCGACAGTCAATTTGGCACCGCTGAAGAGCCTGGAGTACCGCCCAAATTTCGACAGAATCGAAGGCTTTCTCATAGTCCACATACGCTAGGCACAAAGGCATATTATACTCTTCGGTCTTCTGTATAATCTGCCGCAAGGTGTGTATGTGGTCTATGGTACTGAAGCCTTTTCGGAATCCGGCTTGTTCGGGAGGCTGGAAGTCGTCGAGTCTGGAAGCGAGACGATTCGATATGACTCTTGAAGAACAGCACCACCACACTTCTGCTCCACGTCTCTGGTGTAGCACCACCCTGAAGGACGAAATTAAAGAGTCTCTGAAGGACTACAAGTACCAGTTCTCCACCCGCTTTAAGAAGCTCTGCTGTAATTCCGTCCTCTCCCGATGCATTGCCATTCTTAAGATGGTCAAGAGCCATTCTAATCTCACTCAGACTGACGTCCGGGATATTCTCGGAATAGTGTCGGATAAGCTTTGCTCTTGGGTCGTTACTCACACATGTGTGTGGCTCCAATGACGATGTGTACAGCTGTCCATAGAACCTCTCAATCTCACTCAAAACCTCTGGCCTACTGAAGATGATAGCCCCGCTGTCAGTCTAAAACTTAGTCAGTTGGCTTTGTCCGATAGACAGATCTCTGGTAAAGACTTTTGAGCCTAGGTTCCGCTCTATAGCTCCCTCAATACGGTCTGTATTGAAGTTGCGTAAGTCTCGCCGCATGTATTTGGAGATCTGCCTATTAAGCCGCCTGTAGTCTGACATGTCAGTTAACGACTGCAGCCGCATCTCACGTCTTTTTCCCAAGAGGTTATGATCGGAGAGTTTTTGGGTTCTATTTGCCCGGCGGGCCTTATAAAATTTAAGGCCCACGGCATGGACAGTTTCCACGAGCTTAGCGTTAATATATATAATACTAATAAATATCTAAATCATATAAAAAACGATATTTTTTCATATTCGAATCCAGCACAGAGTCCATGACCTATATTTTTTGGACAATAACGCTACGCTGTACCATGAATGGGCCGATATGTCCGGGGAAGTACCACGATCTCATAGAAGACCGACGTGAAGTAAAAGCATTATACCATCAATTATTTTCTTATTATCTCAAGTATACAAAGTTACTCTATGCATTATACTTCTGCGTTTTGTCTGGTGAGTGAGGTGGCTAGGACTTAATTAAAAGGTTGCAATGCATTTTAACCCTACGAAATGGTGCAAATGTCCATAGCGGTTATTCATTTAACGTCAGGTGAACCATCTTGCTTCCTTCTTATATAAAAAAAAGAAAACACACCATTAAAGGTTCTAAAATCAAAGCATTTCATATTAATATTTTATTAGAATTACACTCATATAAAAGCATAAAATAATGTAACTCCTTTATTATAAATTTACAAATCTTTCCTAAAAATTATATTGCTTACAGTTCTTTTATTTTATAACTTTAAGTTCATCTTTATGTAAAATAGCCATAACAACTGCATGAGAAATAAATAATTGGTCAAATTCAGTTACATGTGCCAGCCAGTAGCACAGTCATGTCAATATTACAATGAAAAGATATGAATTTACTATAAAAAGTTATATGAATAAAATTAATTTACATTAACTGTATATAACAATATCTACACATACATGTTTTTGTTTACATACTATATATTTGGCATTCGAATTGCCTTGTTAGTTGTACAAACTTATTTTGATGTAATACATTATATTCAAATTATGTTAACTACAATTATACAGCTTATCTAACTGCATTTGTAGATTCTGTGATGTTATAGCTGGCGTGCTTGGAGTTTCCGTTCTTTTGCATTTTATGAGTGGTGTATTCAAGAAGTTCATCTGCTCCTTCATTTTCATATAAATGCTGAGAGCTTTGTTACTTGTATCTTTAATTGGTGTTTGCATGCCATTACAAACATTAGGCATAGATTTATGAAACACTTTCTTACGTAAACATGGATTCTTTTTAGGGATCTTATAAGATGGTGACTTTGAACATGATTTAATGACAGTGCAAGGTTTGCCAATATTAAGATTTAGTTCTGGTTCAATCCTCTCTTTCTTTATTTCAGGTTCCATTTGATCAGTTATTTTTTCAGTTTCACTTTTCAGCACCATTGAATGCTTTTCACTGATTAATTTCCTGACATATTGAAGGGTTTTAATTTGAGAGTCTTTAATTGTCACCAATGTTTTAATACCATTGTCAATCATTTGAATGTTATGTTCTGTTTGCCTTTCAACATGTAATAAATTGTCAAAATCTGACTCTTGTTCAAAATTGTTGACCGTAGCTTTATTTAGCATGTCACATAAGGATACAATAACACTTTCATCTCTTTTACTGTTTTCCTTACTTATCTTTAGTTTATCAAAACACATTATTGTGTTGTCATTATATAGTGAAGAGTTTTCTATATCTTTGGTGTGGTTGAAGAAATCTTGCACATTTCTATACTCTTTAAAAGGTGTTGAAACTGTCTGTAAGGTTTCCCCTGTTTTCTCTGTCGCATTATTTTCTTGTGAAGCTTTCGTTTTCTCTTCTATGTCTTTCTCAGCTTGTAGGAAACTTGCATCACAGCTTGATTTCCAGGACATGTTATTCAGGGGAGTATCGGGTACAATTGTTAATAATTTTTTCTGTAATGGAACTTTTTGTTTTGGGGTCATATGTAGTTTTAAAACAGTATTAGTTTGATTTGAAGCATTCTCTTTGTTTGCAAGGGTCATTCTGTTTTTGAATGATGGATTGCTTTTTATTGCTGGTGTTTCTGCTATTTTGTAAACACCACTAATGCGGATGTTATTTTTAGCTGAAAAGTTTGTTTTAGTAAAATAAATAAACCATTTAGCAGAAATAAAGAATACTGTTAACGTTTTTTTTTCTTTCTATATTAGCACTATAAAGATTCTTTGCACTTTAAGATTGAACATTAGAACTTGTAGAAAAAGTACGAAAAGATTGTCGCCGCTGTGGGAATCGAACCCACGTCTTCGGCATTCGCGGCCCGACGCTTTAGCCAATAAGCTAGGTTTTAATACTGTTTATGGTTAAACGGCTTTTGGCTTAGTGGCTAAAGCGTCAGGCCGTGAATGCCGAAGACGTGGGTTCAATTCCCAAAACGGAAAATTTTATGGTTTAATCTTAAATGCAGAGATTAGCACTACTAAAAATTAAAATTTCAATAGAATATTTTTTGTTTTTTCTTTCTAATTACTTAATTTATTATCTCAACTGTGATGGCAATTGTATGTTACAATTAGAATTCTACAAAAGTTTAAAGACATTTGAAACAAAACAAGCATGTGATTATAAGACATACCAAAAAGTATATTACAATGAGTATATACCATACCTTGCACATTAAGCGCTTTCCTTGCTTTTAGCTCGGGTTTTGGAAATTTTGGAGTCTCAGAATTTATAGTAGCTCTTACATTGGTCTGAAAGAGTAAAATGAATTTTCCATTATAATGCTTTGCATTAAGGTATGAAGTACTTTAAAATGTAAACTACCCCATTAATTATGTCATGATTTCATGCTTTATTAATTTTGACAGAACAATTAAACCTATCTTTACTTATTAAATTGTATCAGTCATTGGCTCATGAATGAAAAAGTTGCTCTGAATTAGTATCCTTTTTAATTAAGCTCACATGGCATATCATTACTATATCAATTTTTATTAATGTAAATTTTAGGTTTACAGCTTGTGTGCTATACATCCTTGGTACTAGGTAAAAATCTTAAATTTTGTCTGGATTTTTAAGAAATTTTTTTTCACTCCATCCTTTGTTGATATAAATTATGTCACTTACTTTGGGCTTTGGTTGAAAGTTGAGAACTTTTCTAACCGAGTTGTTCTTTAAGTTTCCATTTGCCGTGTGACTTACAGTTTTATCCACTTTCACAGATGAATTCCAGTTCTTTTTCTTAACCGAGCTGTTTACTGGACATCTTCTAGTGGATTCACCTTTTAGTGCTTAAAAGCAAATTGATAAATCAATATTATAACAACATTATTTTAAACATTGCCCTTACTTTGGGATATTAAACCATGCAATAACTGTTTTATAAATACAAATGAAACAGATATATACACCCTAACCTTATTTGTAGATCAAATTAATACCTACTTGTTCAGTGTATAAAACACAATGACAACCTACCACCCTGTAAATAATAACTTAGCAACTGTCCTAAGCAAGCAATGAAATAATCATAAGATTCATAAAAAATTTTGTTATGGCATGAATGATACAGAAATGAAAACCAAAAAAATCGAACAGATTAACAATTAACTTTCAATAACAATATAGTCATGCGTGATAATTGATTGTTGTTGTTAACAATAATTACAAAAATTTTATTGGTTTATCTCATCACACATATTATGGCCAGTTAAAATTATGCTTATTAATAGACCCTATGACCAATAAAATTCAACATAGTTCCAAGAAATACTAAAATAATAAAACAATAAAATATTACAAATGACTGGAAATTTTTTAATTTCATCTCAATCTTAAAGAGTATTAAATTTTTCATAATTTAAAGGTTGGTATTATGATGATAACCTGTCAGATGAGTCTTCATTTCAGCAATTGTAAGTGGTTTAACAGGCTTTTCAGAAGTCCGAGTGAGTACCATCTTATTTTGTTGAGGTTTTTTCACTGTAAGTGCCTGTATACAATCCTTAGATAAAATACCTGGAATAATAAAGATTATTATAGTTATTGAATGTAACAAAGATTCCCATTACAAAAAACTTAAAAGTTTATCTACACGACTGAATGAATAGCTGTATTATTAGTGACACTATGTTGATTGTGTATTCGCAAAAATCATAATAACTTAATAACTTAAAAATTCTCAACGAATACTAACAACATTAATAATGTAAAAATTACACTACAAACATACCTCCATGTTATGAATGCTGTTTTATTCAAATTTAGTAGCAAATTAGCTTGAACGCAGGGTTCTTAACCAAAGTTATTTTAAATTAAATTATTTACTATAAATATTAGTGATATTTTAAAAGGAGCAATTGTTTAAAACAAAAATCTAAAACGAAATTATAAGTATATGTTTTAAAGACATTTATGTGGTTTATATCTCATTTCATAAACACGCACCACTCAGTCCAGGCAGTAGCTCAGCCATTGTTTTTGGTTTCATTTTATTTGCTGTCCCATCCATTTTTTAATGCTTTAGGTAAAATTGAATATAAATATTATATGACACTCCAATATCATCACAAACCAAACTTTTAAATTACAATTTTCAGTTAACGTAACTGTCAACACTCAACAATGTCAACTGTCAAAATCTCATTTCACGCAAATAAAAGTATGAAAATACACTTGGTATGTACTTTTTGATGTAAATTAAACTAAGTTTTATACATTTATTTAGATAAATGTAATATATTTCTTAAATTGTTTTGAGATAATTATTACACATGTATAGGTAGTTAAATCTCCCTTTACAAAATATGTACTTATACATATCGAACCCTCGACCCCTGGAGCCTACGTAGACATTGCGAAACTGAGTAATAAAATCAGAACCAGGTACTATAACTCGTTCTATATAGAGCAAATATCCAAATTTACCACTGTGTAACTAAAATATCAAATCAAATTTATCTTTATTCAAATAGACGCTTGCGCGTTCTTACGAATCGTTAAATCAAATATATAAAAATTATAAAGATAGGTTCGTAAGGTACCACCGGTTCGGAAAGCTGTTTCTGCTGAGAAGAAACGGACAATAAAATCAACAGTTGCTCTTTTTTAAAAATATCAGTTTACAATATAACATACAGGTATAATTGTCTTATTATAGCCTACGTGAGTATCAACAGTGTTAACTCCAAACATTGGCATCGTCGAGATATTCCGCAATGGTGTAATATGCTTTAACCATATGTTTACTTTTGATATTACGTTAAAATTGATCAAGCGGCAGACTTAATATCGACTGTGGGATTTTATTATAAATGCGCACACCTTGCCCCATTAACAACTTATTTACTTTTTGTAGACTAAACAATGGCGTAGTAAGTTTGTGCTTATTTCTAGTGTTTAATTTATGTCTTCTACTATTCTTTAGGTAATAATTAAAGTTATGACGAATATACAAAATATTACAATAAATGTATTGAGAAGACACAGTGAGTATATTAATCTCTTTGAAAAGATCTCTGAGTGAAATCTGGGCTCCGACATTTCGTCCAAAAAAGAGCTGTCCTATTGCTGGGACAGCTCTTTTTTGTAAAATAAATATAGAATTTATAGCAGATGCACTACTCCACAACAAAATTCCGAACGACAAGATGCTGTGGAAATAACTGAAGTAAACAAGTCTGGCAGTGTCGATGTCTTTTAGTTGCCTAACCCTTCTAATCGCAAAAACAGTGGAGCTTAGTCTATTCGCAAGAGATGATATATGGGGATTCCACTGGAGCTTTGAATCTACTGTAATTCCCAGAAATACAGCAGACTCAACAGGATTAATGGGTATTTTATTTAATATTAAACTAAAACGCATTCTTATACTGGGAAGGGTAAAAAGAATACTTTTTTTGGAATTTAATACCATAATATTAAAAGTAAACCAGTGGAGGATATGCGAAAGTGAAATTCAAGTGAAATTCACGTCAAACAGTACAACATCACACAACTCACTGGCTTAAAAGGGGAGTTCATTAATATATACTAAAAAAAATAATGGGCCCAAGATTGAACCTTTTGGGACACCCATTTTCATACACATCATTTCATACATTGGGACCCAGCAGAGTTAACATCATTTATTGATGGTAGCTTACTTACGAGCGTATCTTATCCTTTAAACGAGCAATTCTTGTATATATAATCGGAATCTCGGAAATGGCTCCAGCGATTTTCATGAAATTTAGTATGTGCGTAGATTCGGGGGCAAAAAATGGATCTAGCTAGATTTCATTTTTAGAAAATGCCCTTTTAAACCTGTTTTCAGGGAATGAAAAATATAATTCGAATATGACGGTAAATTTCGCCCCAAGAGAAAATGTCATAATAGATCGGTCGGTAATCGGGCGGCCCCAAAACAGACGGCCGTGGTTCGCGTCACGATCATTTACACATTAATTTTTTTACTTTTTTTCGATTCCAGATCATTGCTTTCTTTATTTTTAATTTTTTGTCGATTTGTTATTTTGTTATGTTTTTCCCTTTTTTTTAAAGTTCTTTCTTTTGTGAAAAACATCAGTTCATATTTTCTTATTATTACGTCGGTAAGATCGAAAAATATTATGCATATTTCATTACTCAATAATTTGTATCTAAATGTATTTTCCAAAATACACGATTTACCAAAAAAAAAACAAACCGAGCAAAGATCGGTCCTCCGGGTACTTAATTTTTATATAAACTGTTGACGTTTTATAAGAACGCGCAAGCGTCTATGTGAATAAATACATTTTTGATTTTGATTTTGATACTTTTTGAGTTTTATTACTAAAGTAAGAGGCAATGAGAGTGTGGGCGATGCCACGAATGCCATAATAGACATATACTATTTAAGTATGTACACAAGTCTAACAGCTAACAAAAAATACAAACTTTGTTTGAAGTAGTGATAGGCAATCATTTTTTTTAACTCGAAGAGCTATTGTGAGTGCATATTAGGTTTGTGTCATCTAGTGCAAGTGGCAGTACTCTCTCAGTACTTATTGTCGTAACTTTTATGTAACCTTTAGAGTACAATTAATTCACATGTATGCATTTTGCTATTAATGAGTACCGCAATTGTATTTATTACTCTGTTGTTCGGAAAAACTTCAGTCATTTTCTATTACTTTTGTTAAAAACTTATCCTGTACATGTACAAAGTAATTTAAAAGTCAGTTTCTTTGTGATGAACATGGGAAGATATGTAAAGCATTAACGCGCTGGCTGAATTGGAAAAAAGTACGTCTCTACCAGCCAAAGCGAAGCTTGAGTCAGTATAAGCAATAAGCAATGCAGCTACATCAGCTACCATTGATGACGTTGTAAGCGAAAGTCTTGTTGGTGCCTTATTATTAATAGCGAAGCAGAATCTAAATAATTTTTCGAAATTTTATATAAGGTTAACGCCACCACATTAGTTTTCGATTTTTATAGTAGGTTGAAATAAATGAGTTGGTATTTAGAGCTATTTTTATTCAAAGACATCCTCAGTAGAACCAAGATAATCGACAGCTCAGAAGATTAGTAAGTCGATGATTGCTGGTGGCTTAGGATCTTGCTTCGTGGCAATCTACGGTTTTTATAAGGTTAGTCAAATTATCTGTTGTTGATCTAAAGCTTAATTTTTTGTGGCTTAAATGGCATTTAGATTTTTATTACAGGCACGAAATTCAGCGATTATTTCAATTCATTTGTTATGCAGTTCGACTTTGAGCTTTAAGTCAAACGACATAAGCTTGCACGGGTTCGACCTTTGCATCACGAACGATAGCATTGACAACTGGTAATTCATTATACGGTATCATCATCGACAAAAAGTCTACTTTTAATTGCAAGGACTGATTTGTAAATGAAAGACAAGACGAACGAGTGTGATAGATAGTTAAACCATTAGTTAAACCATTACGATAGTTAAACCATTACGTCTGTATGTTCATAATTTTATTGTCATAAACTCATTGGCGTAAAATAAAAAATCGCATCTCGGTGACCGATTTGTGCAACGAAGGCTGTTTGAACCCAGGATGTAAAACGGTTTCATAATCCTAGAACAGTAAATGGTCTTTCTAAACGATTCGCCGTCGCAACGCCTACTCCTACTACAGCAAATAAAATATTATTAGCATTTTATCATTCTATTCCCGTTTAAATATGTAATACAATATTACACTATGTGTTATTGTTTTATTATTAGGGTTGTCGAGTGAAGAAATATATCGGTATTTATATCAAAACCAATATCGGCCTCAATATATTATGGGATATATTTATATTAAAAGTTATGTCAAGTATTAAATATTTGACAGCGGTTTTTGATAAGATTTGCCATATTGAATATTTTGTATCGATATATCGGATTCAAATACACCAGCTGAAAATATCAATATATTAAAGAAAAATATCGATATTTTTTCATCATCCGATTATTAGTTGTATTGTATTGTATCTATTTATTGTCATTACCATTGTCATTTGTCAAATGTCATTGTCATCTCATTTGTCATTTCCTATATTACAAAGTACTCTGTGGTCATTTCATTACAATTTAGATTTACTACCAAACTACCATTGATAATTTGATATCGACATTCGATCGACATTCATTAAATTCAACAAATCAACATTGATAGTGATAACCTAGCCCGACTACAGCATCTATGGTGTACTTATAGCTAAATATCGTTTAAATAAATATATAAATATCGTTTACTTAAAAATCGTTTACTTGTTACTTTAAAATGATTTCTTTTGTCAACATTGAGGGTTTTGATGAATTTGCTAAATACACTGAATCGATTGATCAGAAAGGTCCACCGGTTTTATTTTATTTTAGTGGATCAAAATTGCCTGATGGTAGAAGCTGGTGTCCGGACTGCGTAGAAGGTAGTGCTTAATTATTAATACTTGCATGTTTATTTTTAAAAATAGTTTTTATTAATTTTTCAAAATTTGTATGTTTTAAAAATACAACTTCACTGTTACAATTTTGACAGTATGGTTAACAACAAAATAAAATGTTTTACTTTGAATAACTATGGGGAATTTGCTAATTTTATTGATGAACTGCCACAAAGGGGACCTCATGTCTATTTTTTCTTTACTGGAAAGAAGAAGGAAAATGGAAGGAGTTGGTGTATATTTTGTCAAATGGGTATATCTTCAAATATTTTCAAAGCATTCCTTTTTAGCACATGGCCCTTATATTGTTTTGCAAGCTGTGAATTTCTGAGCAATTATACATCTTCATATATCATCTAATTCCAACATTTTACTACATATGGAGCAGCCTCTCCAATTCATGTTTACGAACTATGTTATGCGTCCCGAGAAAGTATTTTTACATAATTAAAAAAATATGCTTTCAAACCTATTCTTTACATTAGTAATCATGTTTTTAATTTTTTTTACAGCTGAACCTATAATCAAAGCATTTTTAGATGAGTTGAAAAAAAATGTCATATTTGTTTATGTTGATGTTGGTGACAGAGAATAGTAAGTATCAATAGTAAATGAGTGGAGTATGAAAGGCAGACTTAAGTCTATTGAGTAGCTTGATTTTTATCTGTTAAACTTTTATCATTAGAGATAACAAAAGATTTTTTTTCATGCCCTTGTTGTTTATCAATATCATTCATATTTACTACATTTAAGTACTATTACTAAATACTGTAATAGTTGCTCTACATCTAGCCAAAGCCAAAAGCTTTCATCCATGCAAGAAGAAATTGCAGTCAATGTGCACTATTAAAAAAACATGATACAATAAAATTGGTATAAAACTTACAGTGGTTTTATCACAGTTCACTTGATATTTAAAATGTAATACACATTTCAATGTTCATTGTGTTTATAAACTTTACCTTTTCTTAAATACTTAGGGTTTCTGCAGCATGTCTTTGTTCTATTTTAATTGACATCTCAACATTTTTTGCCTTTACCAATTTCTTTTTTATATGGTCCATTCCTTAATATTAAGTCCTTATACTTAATATCCTTACACCTAATAACCTTACAGTTAAATCTTGTTATTATGTGATGAAATTAAAAATATTTTTTTCTTACATCTGTCTTAAAACAGACAGGATATCATAGGAGAACTACTAAATTGTAGAATATAAAACCAACATAGTTTAGAAAAATCTTTATTTAATATCTTTGCTTTACAGCTGGAAAGATAAAGCCTGCCCATTCAGAACTGACAGTCGTACAAAACTTATGGTCATTCCAACTATAATTAAGTGGAAAGGAGTTCAGAGGCTTGAAGGCAGTCAGTGTACTAAACGGGAACTTTTACAGATGTTGTTTGAAGAGGACGACTGAAGCCCTTAAATAAGAGTCATTTTCTTGATTTAGGTTGAGTGTTTAATATATCATAACATAGATAAGGGGTTGAAAACATTGAAAATTTATATTTTTCTGTAATTAATTTCTATCAATAATGAACATTAAGTTTAAAATGAAGTATATTTTTTAAAATACTTGTAACTAACTATAGATGTGTATCAGTTTGGCAATAAAGACATCTTACATACCGCAACACATTTTATGTTAAAATATTTGAAAATATATGTAGGCATAAAATACCTACCGTATTATTTTAATTTTGTACATTAGTTTAAAATAATAAAAATGTAATTTGTTTCCCCACTGTATAATTGTTTAACAACATTATTCCATATTTTTTTATAATTCAATGTTATCTCTCAATTTTTAGAGAATTCATTTCTTTTTTTAATGTGAAAAGTTTTTAAGCGAGAAGGCAGTTCACTCAATTGCCCATGGACATCTACAACACCTGAGGACTTGCACATGCCTTGACAACCTTTAAAAAGTAGGCCCAGGCTTAGTGTTTTATTGAACTCTTAAAAAAAACAATGGCTACTATTTATGAAAATATTTTAAACGATTTTGTAACTGATAATGAACACGAGCGTTTATAACAAGAAATTTGCATTAAAAAAATTCTGAAAACAATTATAATAATATTACAAAAAGTTTGGGGGAACAACTTAAACAATGTTTATATCGGCCCTTATTACACTACTTGCATTTCTGCCCTTGAATTCTTAAAAATATCGTGCTTAAAATACTGGTTTTAAGACAAAAGAGCCAGTTTAGATAATGCCATTGCGAAAACGTCCACCGCGGTCCTGCCGCTAACGTTATTGAGCAGGTACGTAGAATCGTAGCAAGGGCAAGCATCCAAAATACGTGCCCAAGCCGTCACTGCGATTGAGATAACAGTGCGAGTTGAATCCACGTTATTTATTTACAACTCACAAATAAACCTTGCACGAAGAAAATATGAACGAATTCAACATTTTACGGTGGTAGGGCCATGCAGCAGCCTCGGCTGTTACACGAAACGGTAGGCTCGTCTGGGTAAGTACCACGACTTCATAGAAGACCGGCGTAAAGTGGAAGTATAACACTTTCGCGTTTCGTCTGGTGAGTGAGGTGGACGGAGCCCAATTTTCAAAAGGTTGACAACCCATCTGGAACCCTCAGGTATAGCAGATGTCCATGGGCTGCGGTATTAACTTAAAATCAGGTGAACCGTCTGCTCGCTTGGCAACTTTTCAAATAAAAAAAAACTGATTACATTACGCAGTGCCATCTGGATTTTCCTTCAACACTGTGGACTCACTATCACTATTGAAGTAGTTTCATTAGTATGTTGCAAGACTTGATATGTGATTAAGCGTATCTCACACGAGGCAAGTTTACCAGCTGTCATCTCTGCTAGATTCCAAACAATCTGTGTGTCCGTCTGTGCCCTAGATTTCCTTATAATTTAAGTCAGGGGTGAGATACCTTTTTTATCAACGGGCCAATTTAAATTTCAAATTTTTTGGCGGGCCGCACATAATAATTTACGAAACTTTATTTATAATAAATAGAATTAAAAATTATAAAATAAAAAAAAGTAAAGATTTCATATACAAATTTTAATGCAAGGTAAAAACAAACAAGAAAGAACAGAAAAACGAACAAAAAATATTTCGGTTCAGTATATACTACCATTTTATTATAATTAATTTTATAACAATATATTGATGGGAGAAATTCGATAAAATAAATTAAATTTTAGAAATGCTTGGCGAGCCGCATAAACATGTTTAAGGGGCCGCAAGCGGCCCGCAGGGCGCGCGCAAAGAGAATGTAATCACTACGTTTGGCCGCGCGTTGCTCATCCTTGATTTAAGTCATCATAACATTGTGTATTTGACATAATCTGCTAAAACGGTTTTTCACATGAAGTAACGTAAATAACACCACATATCAAACATTTGGGTAAAAGAAATAGAATCAGCTCGCACACATATTATTAACTATACTCGGAAATTTTTTCGTTACCAATTCAAGTTTACGTACCTTTACACAAATAATTAATAATTATATAAAACGGAAGCTTATAAAAATCAACGCGTGGGTCAATGACTGCCCCGCCTCGCGACTTCTAGGATACAATACTTGACTGTTGGGTTTTATGAATAAATGAACATGTATTTTGCATGTATTTATTTTAACAAAGCAAGTACAAAAAACCGCAGCTGAAATCATATCCCCCCTAGGATTAAAGAATATCATATTTAGTTATTTACATTAAATACTTGTAATAAAAGGGTAATTTATTACAATACTTAAAAACATTTTGATACTTTATAATGATAACTAATCGTATCAAAAACCATAAGAAAAGCAATAATGTTTTAATACGTGAAAAGCAATGCATTTTTGAAGTATTGCATAGTTTATGATAATGGTTATTATAACAATTGTTCATATACCGTACTACGTAATATCCCGACATACATAATTATATGAACAATTTACTTAATCTTATTTACTATCGAAGATAGAATGTCTGAAAGTTGTTAAATTAATGCCTTCACAAACAAAGACATCCATACTGGCAATTTATGAATATGCAAGTCGAAAACAACGAATAATTAATTTTTTATACAGCGTGTCGTTACAACCGCGACAATAAATGAAAAATATATAAACTTAAAAAAATCCATAATTAAAAAAAATATTTTTCAAACAAACTAATTAAGTAAAAAAGAAACAAAATTTGTAACATCCTATACAACTACAACTGACTGATTCATACATTCAGAGACTTTTTCATTCGTTGCCACAGCGTCGCATTACAAGCCTCTCCTTCTAACAGTATGTTTTGTCTCTTTTAAATGCATTCAACCCATTCATATGTTTTGTAACCTTTACAAATGAACTTTATACAGTTTTATACGTAAGGGTGTTCTAAAATTGTTTGTTTTAGAAAATGTAATAAATCGGTAAATATTGATGTTTAAAGAATGTAAATGTTTAATACAATTTTAAAAAGTTGTCCTCCATATGTGTGTTCATTTATTGTCGCGGTAGTAACGACACGCTGTATATTTACTTTCGTTTATCACAGTATTCGCTCTATATTGTCTTAATTATACATACACTTAATTTACATTATGTACACTAAATAAGGATAATATAATATAAGGAATAATATATTGAGCAAAATATATTAATGATAAATAGCAATTTAGGTACATCAAAGTTCAGTGTTTACAGTTACAGAAACCTCTTACTATTCCTAAGATCTTATTTGTAAGAATTGCAAAGAATACAACATTTCATTGCATACATTTTAAAGTTTATTATTGTGCTAATATCTGCACTTAAGATTGAACATTAAACATGTTTTAATTTCATTTCATTTTTACATCTAACATGGTAGTAATAGGAAGCTAAAATGTTCACATTACAAGTTAGCATCAAATGTCAATATATAATATTGTCAATTCTATTCACAAATATATGTTGATACCATATTATAAAAATAAATAATCAATTTAAATGAATAATATTTAAAATATTTAATAGTCAAAATAATTTGCCTTTGTTACCGACATGCAGATGTATTGAGTTTACGGTAGCATAATTTTAATATATTAGTTTAACGAACGACTTTTTTCTTTACACTAAAATTTTCTAATTTTTATTGTACAATAACTTCTACAATAATTTCTCTAAAACAACTATGGTATATTATAAAAAGTTTGTACATATCACTTAAAAATACACAAGTATTTTTGATACATAATATCTTGAAAAGCAGCATTTATGCGAATAAAAAATTATATAACATAACAGCGCGATTCGAATTGCAACGTCACGATCATATTTCAGTCTGGTTTCTCGAGAACCTAGTCATTTTCGTAGTGATTGCAGACGCAGTTAGTACAAGATAGAACAACCTATGTTTACTTAACACCGGGCGATGATTTTATCTATATTGAGGATAGACATCGGTCGGTTTAGTTGTAATTGTATTGTAACGAGGAATTTGTGGTAGGTAATATACTTACGAAATTATTTATTATTTTATGTAAAATTAAACGTTTTATAAGAAAGCTCAAGCGTCTATTTGAATAAAGATAATTTGAATTTGTATTGAAGGCGCCTTTGACTATCACATAGGATGATGTAACCGAGTCTTACTCTCAGAGCCGATATGAATGCTCTCGGTTATGAAGTTGGATCATTCGATATACATCTGCCAGACTCCTAAGGCACTGTAAAGTACTCCATGTTTGTTTCGAGAACCTATTTCGCGCTCAACGTTGACTTTTGGAACACGCTGTATGGATTTTTGAAGTTATATTTCTTTTGGCGCGTTTGGGAAAAATGGTGAGAGTGAATTTTTACACAGGGGATATTTTTTTTTAATTATTTTTATTTAGTTACGCTAAAAAAGTATAACTTCTTATGTGCACACATAAGTAGACACATACGTTTTATTTTTGATAACTAATCAGTACATGATGCAGATGGTACATTAACTATCTGAGAACAGTCAATTAAATTTTATCACGCGTATATATTAACTTAAAGTTGTAACTTCCAGTATATTTATATTGTGCAATTCGATTACAAACCGGTTTTTTCCGCCACGAAAGCTTGCTCTGTGGCCTCTATAGAATCTTCCGGCATGTCCGAAATATTGAGGTCCCTTTCTGGCACAGATATCAGAACGTCGTAGTAAACCTTCTTGTTGCGTAAGTACGCGCTCTTGTTGTCGAATATTACTGAATCTGTGGACAAAGTGAAACTTAGCCCATGGATGTTTTTATCTGGTGTTTAAGCCATGTAAAATTTGTTAAAAATACGATGATACGCGGGACATAGACATTAATAAACTAAAGTGACATGACGAAATAAAGTACCACATTGTGTTACGTACATTGTTTGTTTCAAAAATACGGAACTTCATATACGAGATCCATATTTGTACGTCAATGTGAATGTCCCGCGTATCAACCTGTATTTAACAGACTGTAAACACAGAGCCGTGATAGCTCAGTGTCCGGGTGCTCGCCTTTAATTCAATATACTCGAGCAACCTGAGTTCGATCCTCGGTGCCGGCACCAATGAAGTTTTTAACCTTAAATGCTGACTTATCACGTGCTCCGCGGTGAAGGAAAACATCGTGAGGAAACTTCCATATTTTCGCAATAATAACAAAAAAAAATATATTTCAAAAATATGTGAAGTCCACCAATCCGCATTGGGGCCGCGTGGTGGACTATGCCCTGATACCCTCTGAATAGAGGAGGCCTTTGCCCAGCAGTGGGACATGTATAGGCTGTTACTTTTTAACTTAAACACAAAGTGATGGTGTTTCGAAAAATAGCATGCATTTTCCTTTTTTTTAATGAACAAGCGTATGCATAACGCGGCGACCGTCCTGTGTGTATAAATAAGGCAATGTTCCAGTTTATATTTGGTTAAATTAAAAAAATTACGTCAAAATAGGCCTGGTACTCAACATTGACCTTTGTTGTTATAGGATTACAGAATTATATAGCTTGCGTTACTGTTTAACATTTCACATCTTTCCGAGACTATATATTATTTGTACATATAATTCGAGTGCTGGATTTAGAGAGAATTCAGAATTTAGGGTTTAAGGCTCTCGCGTCAAAATGATAATACTTGCTATATCTAACATATGACATTACCGGGGTCCGCTTAGCAGTAACTTAGCTTAAGGTCGCTGCGGATCTGCAACCCTACGTGTGGCAAATGTCCACGAGCGGCGGTTGTCACTTAACGTCAGGTGAACCGCCAGCTCGCTTGACACCTTCTCGCATTAAAAGAAAGTACCTGGAGGACCGAGCTTTGCTCGGTTTGATTTTTTTTTTGTAAATCGTGTATTTTGGAAATAACACTTAGATACAAATTACTGAGTAATGAAATAATATATATATATATATATATATATATATATATATTATATTGCTCGTTTAAAGGATAAGATACGGCTGCACTCACAAGTGGCCGGCCCGTTGACGGGCAGGAAGCCAACATCCACCGGCCCCTCCGCCACCTTCCGCGGCCCGTGGACGAGCGTCTCGTTGCCGTCTTCGTCGCGCCTCTTTATCAGGAACTTGATGTCGTGGCTGTCCACGCCGAACTCCCACCTGGCCGTTGCATTTTGGGTCAAGGGCCAGTTTAGAACCAACGACCACTGCCACGGGGCGGCAGATGTGGTACGACTGCTGCACAGTGGAGGGCTCGAGAGGGGTGCCGTGGAGGCCGCGGGGAAATTATTTTCCAAATACTAATGGCGTAGTGGGTAGTGTACCTGCCTTCTGCGCCAGAGGGTGTGGGTTCGATCCCCACTACTGGAAAAATATTGTGTGATAAACATAGTGTTTTTCTAGTGTCTGGGTGTTTGTATATGTATAATATGTATTTATTTACAAAAGAGAAGTATGTTTATCAGTTATCTAGTACCCATAGTACAAGCGTTGCTTAGTTTGGGACTAGAGAACGTTGTGTAAAAATGTGTCCTAAAATATTTAAAAATTTAAAATTTTTTCAGTCGAGTTTTCCAATAAATAATTTATTGTGAAACCAAGTATAGATTCTTACTAGTCTGAATCTAGATTTTTTCCCAAAGTCTCTATTGTGGGGGGACTTTTTTGTGGAGGCCGTCACCTAAATCCGGCCCTGGCGTGCCCATTGCACCAATACGGCACCATGCGGCTGGACCGGAGGCCAGTGTACAGGCTTTAGGGATAAAGCCTGTACACTGGCCTGCACTGTACAGTAGTGTAAACCGTCGGACAGTGCTGACCGCCAAGTTGACAAGCCACTCGAGAATAGTTATATTTAGACAGTTGACATTGTCACAGATGATGTATTTCTGATGCCGCGATAACAGTAAATACTAAAAATCGGAATAAAAACTATTTAAGTGGGGTTAAATAATTAAGATAATGGTACGGAGCCCTTCGCGAGTCGGATTCGCACTTACCAATTTTTTAATACCAAATCAATCGTCGAAACCACATCGCAAACTTCATGATGCCGGCCGATTGATTTGCAAAAGACAGCATGAAGATTTAAATGCCGGCGTGTTGAACTATTGTATCAATGTAAATTTTATAATACCTACTAGCTGACCCGGCAAAAGTTCTCTTGCCGTATAAATTACTTCTCAGGATTCTGTGGGGAAGAAAAAAATGTTGGGGTGGACCACCCTTAACATTTAGGGGGATGAAAAATAGATGTTGTCCGATTCTCCACCCTGGCCGATATGCACACAAAACTTCACGAATACGGTCGAGCCGTTTCGGAGGAGTTCAATTACAAACACCGTGACACGCGAATTTTATATAAGTATTAGATTTAAATTACGTAACTTAAATACCTCATATACCATAAAGCGAAAACTTGATATTATGTACAAGCATGTATCTGATGAAAACAATTAACGATTGTTATATTATCTAGGTAAAATACGCGATTAATCCTCGAGATTTGCATTTTCAACTTTGATAAATTGCAGTTACCTACAATTAAAAGATAAACAATCGTTGAAAAGGTGCAACGTACATTTTATTCACCGTGTGATGGTACACGATATTTTAATATACTTTAGTAAAGGCAGGAACCAGTTATAAGCGTAACACGAAAGTACTAACTTGTATTTGGTTGTTTTTTCGATCAGGATATGTCTTCCTTCATGTTCTTCCTGCATTTTCGAAACATCAAAAGGATTGCATAATTAATTTTAGAGGCATAACCTTTATACCTGGGAGCCATGAATATATGAAAAACCGGTAAAGTGCGAGTGGACTCGCGCACGAATGGTTCCGTACCATTATCTATAAAAACATGTATGAGCCCTAATTAAATATTTTTAAATATTTATAGCGGCAAAAGAAATACATTATCTGTGAAAATTTCAACTGTCTAACTGTCACGGTTCATGAGATACAGAGAGGCAGACAGATAGACAGCGGAGTGTTAGTAATAGGGTTCCGTTTACATTTTGGAACCCTAAAAATGAAAAATGACATGAAAATGTATCTAAATACACACTGAATACATACTTCAAAACACTTTCTCCCTCCATGCACAATAAGTCGACTGCATGCTTGTCCCCTGTCTTGACTGTGACCCGAGTGTATTCCTTGCTCTGCTCATAGGGGGCGCTCTTCGCATAATAGCTCTTGGGCACCTTACCGCCCGGTTTCACCTGGAATAAAAATAAAATAACAGTCTATACATGTCCCACAGCTGGGCAAAGTCTCCTCTATACAGAGGGTATTAGGGTCCACCACGCGGCCCCACTGCGGATGGGCTGGCTACATATCAACGAAATAATATAATTATTTCTTTTGTTATTATAACGAAAATATGCAGCGTGCAAGAGCCGTGATAGCTCAGTGTCCGCGCGCTCGCCTTTAATTCAATATACTCGAGCAACCTGAATTCGATCCCCGGTGCCGTCACCAATGAAGTTTTTAACTTTAAGTGCTGACTTATCACGTGCTCCGCGATGAAGGAAAATATCGTGAGGAAACCTGCATATTTTCGAAATAATAATAATATATTTTGAAGATATATGAAGTCCGCCAACCCGCAGTGGGGCCGCGTGGTGGACTATGCCCTGATACCCTCGGTATAGAGGAGGCCTTTGCCCAGCAGTGGGACATGTATAGGCTGTTACTTTACTTTACTTTATGCAGCGTTCGATGTTTTCGTTCGCCGCTGATCACGTTATAAGTTAGCACTTAAATTAGCAATTGCTTTGGTGCCGCTACCGGATATTGAACTGAGGTAGCTCGAGTATATTGAATTAAAAGCGAACTATCACACCTGGAATGTATTTATCTAATCACTCGATTTGCGTAGTGGACTGTGAACCTGTCTCTTGCGCCGGAAGGTGTGGGTTCGATCCCCAGTACCGGAAAAATATTGTGTGATGAAAATTGTGACTTTCTAATGTCTAGGTGTTTATAATATTTATAATTATGTGTCTATTTACAAGAAAATCATGCCTTAGTATGTTAATTACTTAAAAATTTTATGAAAAACAATCGGAATGGGAATTTGATGCACTCATGAGTAAATAACATCGAGATTCACGGGTAATTCAGTCCGATTTTGTGGTGGCCGGAGAAAATTCGCACGAGTGTCTCGACTAACGGTATCTCTAAAATGAGCCACTCTTTTAAATCCGGGGGCAACGGCTAATATTAAATTGCAGAAAATATCTTCTATACATTGCGTGTGTGTGCAAGCGTGTGTGCGTGCGAGCGCACGATTGTGTGCACTACGTCTGTTTGTGTGTGTGATATGGGTGGGTTTGGGTATGGGTGCTGCGTACCATGGCGCTGCACCTGGGATCGCCGTCCTCGTCCACCAAACTCCCGCCGTAGTGCTTCGGCAGCTGGTCGGCGTCTATCACCTCGAGCACGTGGGGCTGCCACTTCCTCGCGTCCGTCCCGTATATCTTGATCTTCGATATCGTGTACTCGTGCATGAACTTCTTGATCACGGAGAAGGCCAACGAGAAGACCTTTGGCGCTGAAAGCGGTCTATTGTTGCATAGATATTCTGTAAAAACTAGCGGAACAGCCAGGCGTTGTCCGCTCATCCTGTATATTTGTGAATCTAAACCGTTCTCGACAAAATTTCATCAGTTCAGTCACATACACACGCACAGAATAACTATATATGTAAAGATGATAATACTAGAGTCTAAACGTTTACCGTGTCGTGGGTTCCGAATATCATATAATCCCGAATGAGATGGGGTTCCATGACTGATGCAGTGATGTATACTATCTATTAGATTTAAATACTTATATACATATTTGTCAGTGTGTCAATTACTTCACGCAAATATTTTTTTTGTACAAACTTACCGACTTAGGATATATATTATGAGTGAAGAAAAACGTAACACGTGACTATTCTTATATGAGCATAGCTAATATCTCTCAAAAATAAAAGAGCGGATCGGATTAACTTACCGTTGATAATGAAACACGTCTTCAATATTTCGGGATAGTTGGCCTCGTATATCTGTAGCAACGTGAACACCATCTCGGCGGCCGGTTTCCACGCGTACTGGCGGACGTTGAAGCCTTCCAGGTCGAATAGCACCGTAACCTGGCGAAGATTTATGCCTCCTCCTTATGCTAGAAGCGGCGGACGCTTTGCCAACCTTTAATGCCCGGTTCCTATATTCAACGAACGGCCGTTAGTTGCTTAGTCATTATGAAGTCGTCACAACGATTCGTTATGAAAGTTACAAGTTATGTAACTAACCGCCGTTCGTTGAATCGTTGTAGGAACCGGGCATAAGAGTGGCCTCACCGTACCGTAGAAGTATAACATATAATAATAATTGTGGTAGGGCCACGCAACAGTCTTCTATGTTGCACGAATGGGCAGGTCCGTCCGGGTAAGTACCACGACCTACAACGACGACGGCGACGCATCTGCAATGTTGCAAATGTCAACGGGCGGCGGTTATCACTATAATAATAATAATAATAAAATATCTTTATTCACATAGACGCTTGCGCGTTCTTATGAAACGTCAAAATTTTACAAGAAATTAACACGTTCGTAAGTTACCACCGGTTCGGAAAGCAGTTTCTGTTGAGAAGAAACCGGCAAGAAACTCAACAGTTGCTCTTTTTAAAAAAAAATCAGTTTACAATATAATAGTACAGGTACAATAGTCTTGTTTTAGCCTACGTGAGTATCAACAGTATTAACCACACACATTGGCGTCGTCAAGATATTCGGCAATAGAATAATAGGCTTTAGCCATAAGTTTACTTTTAATTTTTCGTTTAAATTCATCAAGTGGCAGACTTAATATCGACTGTGGGATTTTATTATACATGCGCACACCTTGCCCCATGAACGACCTCTTTACTTTTTGTCGACGAAACAATGGCGTAGTTAGTTTGTCCTTATTTCTAGTATTTAGTTTATGTCTGTCACTATTCTTTAGATAACTATTAATATTATTTTTAACATACAAAATATTACAATAAATATATTGAGACGCAACAGTGAGTATATTAATCTCTTTAAAAAGGTCTCTGAGTGTTATTCCGGGCTCCGATGTCGATATAGATTGTCGGACAGCTCTTTTTTGAAGAATAAATATAGAATTTATATCAGATGCACTACCCCACAACAAAAAGCCGTAAGACAAGATGCTGTGGAAATACCTGAAATAAACAAGTCTGGCAGTGTCGATGTCTGATAGCTGCCTAACCTTCCTAATTGCAAAAACAGCGGAGCTTAACCTGTTCGCAAGAGATGATAGATGGGGACTCCATTGGAGCTTTGAATCCACTGTAATTCCCAAGAATACAGCGGACTCAACAGGATTAAGGGTTACGCTATTTAATGTTAATCTAAAACTTCGCCTTCTTTACGCTGGGAAGGGTAAAAAGAAGGCATTTAGTTTTTTTAGCATTTAACACCATATTATTAACGGTAAACCAGTGGAGGATACGCGAAAGTGCACTATTCACGTCGTCATAATCCGACACGTTTCGGTCAACCTTAAAAATGAGCGATGTGTCGTCAGCAAACAGTACAACATCACATAACTCACTGGCATAAAAGGGGAGATCATTTATATACACTAAGAATAATAATGGACTAAGATTGATCCTTGTGGGACACCCATTTTCATGGGGGACCCTGTGGAATTTACATCATTTATAGATACTTTTTGAATTCTATTACTAAGGTAAGAGGCAATGAGATTGAGGGCGATGTCACGAATGCCATAATAATCTAACTTTTGAAGGAGGGTTTCGTGGTCTACACAGTCGAAAGCCTTTGAAAGGTCGCAAAAGACACCTATTGCATCTTGTGACCTTTCCCAGGCGTTATAAATATGCTTGACAAATGCGACACCCGCATCCGTTGTCGATCTGCCTTTAGTGAATCGACACGATAACGTGAACTTAACATCAGGTGAACCGACAGCTCGTTTGCCACCTTCTCACATAAAAAATAAACAAAAAAACTATTCGCATAGTTACTAGACATTGGCCGCGATAGTCGTATTATCGGTCGTTGCTAAGTCGGCCGTTCGAATCTCGGTTGTGTGAAACCAGGATGTATTATGTATTTTGGACCTCCAATATCACACATTTTTTGTAAACGAATCTCCGATTACACTCCGAAAAGGTGAATGTCTTCTGGTTCATTGCACTTTAAAACAAGGCCCTCCCTTTTCTTTTTTTATATTAGGCGGAGATCTTATTATCTACGCTTTGCTACTCCAGAAGAAATAATTCTAGAAATATCGTTTGAAATCTGAAAAAGACTTATCTTTAAAACATGTAGAAAAAAAGACTTATCTTGATACAATTTCCAGCACAACAGACGCGACAGCGATTTTTACTGTCTACAACCTTTACGCAGAAGCTGGTAGTAGGGTGGAGAATTTTAATCGGCATGACAACGCGAACACGAATAAACAAATGAACATTATTCTTGGCAAAACTCTTTAATTAATATAATAGCACATATAGTTTAAGATGTTTTAAGACCATACACAAAACTCAAACCAAGACGTATTACTAGAGTAAATTCAATAGATAAAAATAATTTCTATCTGTTAATAGTTTTTACCATAACAATTTCTGTCAAAAAAATATTCCTTTCGACTTTATTAAATGGAAGTTACAAAAGATTGTATTCCGATTTTTTTGCTTAATTGAATTTAACTAAAATAATACAGGATAATTCATTTAAACATTTTTTCTTTGTTTTCCTGAGAAAATCGTTTTTCATAAGATCCTGTTGATACAAGAAATGCAAGCATTTACAACACTCATGTTATTTACTCACTCCTTATTTGTATCAATAGCCAAACGTACAGACGGAAATGTCATAATTCCAATAATTCAAATGTGGACGTCAACCTTGTCTCTAAAGCAAGGTTTATTTGCAGTTAAATATGGTGAATACTATATTGGTGAACTTGAACTTGAAAATGACCTTCAAATCGGAATAGAACTTCTTTCTTTATTAATAAATGGCTTCTCTTAAAAGAATTCTGCCAATATCATGTCAGTCAAGGGAGTGACGTTTTGTTAATATTTATGAAACCTTGACATTTGTCATTGACATTGAGACTCTGCATTAGAATATGATGTAGGTAGTTCACATTCTTTCACAAAGTGCCGTGCATTTAACGTTAAGGCGTACCAAAAACTTGATACAAAAAACCCTTTACATCACAGATTACAGAAGTTGCAATGGAGGAAAGATAAGTTGATTTTTAAACATAACAGAGTCATTAAATTTGTAGAAAAAGTACAAAAAGATTCACTCGGGAATCGAATCCACGGTGTGGCAATCAGCCGTTTAGCTTAGTGGCTAGAGCGTCAGGCCGCGAATGCCGAAGACGTGGGTTCGATACCCACAGCGGCGACAATCTTTTCGTACTTTTTCTACAAATTTAAGGTAAAATTTCAGCAGCCCACTACTTTTATATAGCAAACAAAAGGAAAATTTAAATGATAGAGAACTATAGAGACATATCACTTACGAAAGTTAAAAGTTATTACTTCTACTGTAGTTTTGAAATCGATATTAGCATATTGGCTGTATCATTATTTTTGATGCCTTATTGTATGTCAAAATTAAAACCAAAAGTATTTCCCGCTCATTTATATAAAACAAATATGTATATACCTACATTATTGTATTAGTATTATTTTTTTAATAAAAATTTATTCCAATCGGCATGAAATCGTTCAGTACTTTTTATTTTTTTGTGTTATCATGAATTCTTGTAAAAAAATTTGAATGTTTTAAGTGTGGACAAGACAGTGTTTTACGGAATATTTTTAAATGTGAAAATGTTGACAATAGTAAAATGACAGATTTTCTTAGTGAAAATAACAAGATTTAATTACGTTTTTTTCTCAAAAAGTATAGATGACTATCAAATTTTTTTTATTGATTACTTAGATAGTTATATGTTATCGTTTAAATTTTTCTTTTGTTTGCTATATAAAAGTAGTAGGCTGCTGAAATTTTACCATATTTAATGTTCAATCTTAAGTGCAGAGATTAGCGCTACAAAAATTTAAAAATTAACGGAGTCGCCTAAAGTTTTTATTTTTATACTAAATTCTCAGCGTCAAATTTGCGTGTGAGATCTTGGTACTTACCAGGACGGACTTGCCCATTCGTCCGTCCGGGTAATTTAAGTGTGGACTGTTGCGTGGCCCTACCACAGTAATCTACAGCCGTACATAGATTATATACATTCTAGTTAGTAGTCGGCATTCCCATAAGTCTGTCGGAATAGATGTGTTATCTATATATTTTTTTAATAAGCGTTTAGTACAATTGAGAGCACAGGTACGTAACTCGCGGAGCCAACTGTACTCAAGCTCAAAGTTCTGCACGAATGAAGTTCTTACGACACAATGTAAGTAACACAGTAACAATGTAGTACATATAATAAAGAAAAAGCTATTAAGGATAAATTTAATGTACAGATAATACAGAAAAATTAATCGTTAGGGTCATTTACCTTTAGGGCCGCGGGTCCGTGCACCAGTGACTGCTTCTTCGCGCTCGCCAAATAGCCCTCGAGATGACGCAGAATCATACGGATGAGGTCCGTCCTAGTGACGGAGTGCAACAGACCCCAAACGTCGAGACCCACGAATGGTACAATAATGACTGGAAAATAAAAGATTCGATAGCGGTGAAAACATAGCGATAACATTTACTGTGTATTTGTTTAACTTTAAATTAATTAACTGGGACTTAACACCCGAGGCACTCTCTAGCAGTCACCCAAAGGTGATGCAGATATAAAAGAAAGTATTTTACGGTGGTAGGGCCACGCAGCAGCCTCGGCTGTTGCACGAATGGGCAGGCCCGTCCGGGTAAGTACCACGACCTCACAGAAGACCAGCGTAAAGTGGAAGTATGAGAAATACTTTCGCGTTTCGTCTGGTGAGTGAGGCAGCCGGAGCCCAATTTTCAAAAGGTTGTCAACGCATCTGTAACCCTCGGGAGTGGCAGATGTCCATGGGTGGCGGTATTCACTTATCATCAGGTGAACCGTCTGCTCGTTTGACAAGTTTTCGCATAAAAAAAAAAAAAAAAGATGTAAAATTAAAGAAAAAGTTATAAAAAAATATAACAAATACATTAATTATGTACTATTTTATTTGGCTACATTTTGTACTGCTGTCTGATTTCACGTGAACAAACGCCCAGATCAGAAACCATTATCTGTGTGTCACACAAATAGTTGTCCCGTGTGGGAATCGAGATGTCGACCACCGGCGCTCAAGTCGATACCTCAGCAATTACACTCGGGGTACATTCTGACTTACTCGGTGATCCTTCCTTGTCGAAGCCCGTTGTGCCGCTTGGGAAGTGTTTCTCGAGCACTTCAGGTGCCTGCCACGTCTCAAGCGTGGTATCGGCGCCCCACTTTTCCCGCCAAATCAGCGACTATGTAAAACGTGATGGAATTATTGACTAGGCTTCTTTATTAATATAAAGTAATACAGCTATTTTAGTTATAGTTGTACATACAAGGAGGCTCTTCTAAGTGTATCCATTTTTTTAATTTAACTCTAGACTTTAATTAAATCGGGGCGGCATCGGAGGCAGCTGAAGTAAATAAATGGCGCAAATATGAGTCTTTATTTTTAGATTATGTATTTGTGCCATTTGCTGTTGAAACTTTTTTTTTCTAATTTTCAATCTCATCTCTTCCGCTGCCACCATTAAAATAAGTAACTATAAATGTTAAACCTCATACAAAATAATTTACGTTTATTTTTTAATAAAATTAAAACTATTATAATTTTTGTAACTCATTCGCTTCGTGTAAGAAATAACGCGTTTTAAACGGTTTCATGGTCAAAAATATCAGAAACCAGGTCGCCTTAGCACAAAAATTAAGGTATAACAGTTCTCGATATGTTCAAAGTTTACAACGATCATAAAAAACCTTCAACACGCGCGTAATGTGATTAACAAACCACGCAAATCTGCTGAATCGTTGTAAACCTTCTTTTTATGTGAGAAGTTTGCAAACTAGTCGGCGATTCATTCGTTGGTGTCAGGTGAAAACCGCCGCCCATTGACATTTCAAACGCAAAAAATGTAAGGAATCACATTAGATAACACCCAGCATCGTTACAAATGTTTGTTATGAAATTATCATCATTAATTACCACGTTGTAGACAGAACAAATACTTACGTCACGTAACATTTTCTCTGCCGCCTCCGGATCCCATTGTCGCGCTGGAACAATTTTTAAATCATTAAATAACATCAAAACGAACAATAGTATTGCCAATATAAAATAAAAAAAAAAATAAAAACAGACACCTTATGAACTCATTCAGTATTGTATATATGTCAGTGGTTCTGCGGTATATTCAGCTTACTTTTTAAAATATTATAATACAAAAAGTCAGACAAAACAGCCAGGAGACTTGCAAGTGTACAGCCGAGTGTTCTTTGAACACATTCTAGTGTACCACGTTTCTTCGATGTAAGATAGTCTTGGCTAATATCCTGTTTAATTAATTGTCCCTATCTGACATAATTTTACATTCATAAAGTATACAAGCATCACTAGGCCTGCGCCTTCCTTGTGTGGGAGAAAAAATTACGGCTGCATTGCAATGTTCTTTGGCAATGTTGTCATACAACTTGCCATAAATATTCCCTTTGATTCTGAAGATTAGTCTGATTATCACTTAATATTGGGTGACTTGAGCCTCTGCATTTAATATTTATACGTGTATTATTATTTCATTCCATTATCATTTGGTATGCTGTTTATTCTGTAATAATAATTCACAAAATATTGTGTCCAGTTATTATTTATTACTGTATCATTTTTTTAATACTGAATTAAAGTATGCAATTAAGTAGCTATTACGCGATCTCTTGAATATGATTAAATTACAAGTGTTAATTACCGGAATTTAAGATAATAAAAACACATTATAAGCTTTAAGGAAATAAAAAGAATTAGAATTTTTATTAAGAAGCTTCATAAGTTATTCTTAAAATTCGTAATATTATTTTGTTAATTTATAGTTTTGTAAGCAAATAACGTATTTTAAAAATACATACTACCTAAATTGAGGCACAACATTTCAATTAGTTTTTATATATAATTAAATATCATTTATTCAACAAAAGCTACAAACTTGTCTTAGGAAATAAAATTTAATATTTTTTGTACTAAAATAACTAATTTGTGTGTCTAAAAATATACTAATTTTGCCTATAAATTTAATTTACTGGTGACTCCGTGGCGCAGTCGTCAAGGTATTGGCTTCGGCGTCGGGGGTCGTGGGTTCGATTCCCTCACGGGACAACTATTTGTGTGACCCACCGATAGTTGTTTCGCATCTGGGTGTTTATCCACGTGAAATTTATGTATGGAAAAACGTCCTTGCAACACAGGACAATGTTATCCTAAAGTGAGGGCAATGCTTTAAAAAAAACGAAAAAAAAAACTTTCATAGTAAAAGGGCTAAGTTACCTTCCACTTCTCATATTACGACTGGGACCCTATTTCTTTACTATCCCACCTAGGTGGGGTGGGCAAAGCAATTGTGATACATGCTGTTAATGGTATTGGCTAGGAGTTTTACGAACGGCGAACTGCCTGACGTCAATCCAGTTGTCGTTAGTCACACAAATACTTGTCCCGTGTGGGAATCGACCCCACAACCCGCCGCCGAAGCCTTAACAAGCGAATGGCTTAGCAACTGCCCCACCGAGATGTCTGGGATGGTGGTTATAATACACATTTTTTTTTACTATCGAAAAACGATACCGACTGCAAATATCTCGCTCTGTATTCGTTTTATAATTGACTAGCTGCTACCCGCGACTACGTCTGCGAATAGTCTGAAGGCGCCACATTCAGACGGAATGTCTATGTCTTATATTATGATGTGTAAGCTATATCATTGTAAAGTTTCATTAAAATCCATTCAGCAGTATTTGCGTCAAAGAGTAACAAACATCCAAACTTTCGCGTCTATAATATTAGTAAGGAAGTAAGGAAATCAATATTGGACCACATGGGAAGCAACAGCTTTCAAATAAAAAAAAAAGAATCATCAATCGCTTACAGAGGGACGGTGCGCGAGCGCGCATCGTAAAAATATAACGCGCCGAAAGAAGTATAACTTAAAAAAAAATGTTTATAAAGGTGAATTTTATATGAAGGACTAAAAACTTTTATACAAACTGAATTTAACTAGTGAACGGATGTGCCTTTAATTCAAGGCTAAACTTTATGACATTTTGTTAGTTTTCAATTGCCTTGTGCCGGCGAAACTGAACATGCATTTACCATTTTTTATTGCTTTAAATTTAATAGTGTGTGCTCAAGGTGTTTTTCGTCGGACTTTATTTAATTATTCGAACACCATTATAAACCTTATTTTTGTCACTTGTTATTTTATTTAAAAACGAAAAGCTTTTGACGAAAACCAAATAGAATAAAGCTTATGTTTTCATTAAAAATAATATTCTTTACAAAACTTCTTATAAAGAATGTAGGTATGATAATGCCATCTATTACCAATTTGTATCCATGAATACCGAAGTAAAACTGAATTTTAGCGTTATTCTTAGAGTACAATACCTTTCATTGTTATCAAGTACTTATATACTGCCTCGGTTGTTGCAGAAATGAGCAGGTCCATCTGGGTAAGCATCACAACCCCACAAAAGACCGGCGTGAAGTGGAAGTTTTAAGCTACTGCGTTTTGTCTGGTGAGTGCGGTAGCCGGGGCCACTTTATTAAAGGATGGCAACGCGTCTGCCACCCTATGGGTGTTGCAAACGTCCATGGTGACCATTAACACCCAATATCAGGCGGACCGGCAGGTCGCTTCTCATATAAAAAAAAAACATCGATTTCCTAAGACAGCATCTATAATTCAACTCATTTATAAGCCTGATAAATTCAACCCGAGAATTACTTCTCAGACAACAAATATTTACATTATACTGTGAAAAGAGAATGCGCCTTTTCAAGGCCAAATTTTTAAATGTCTTGTAAAAATGTCGCAGAATGTCACAGCTCTTTTTTTTTATCGAATGCTATTTCTGCTGAGTTACATGAGTCATATAATGCTTTATTCAATTATACCACAAACACATTTGACTTCATGCATGGTTTTCCCGACCTATTGTGGTTGGCGTTGTACAACAATTATTGTACAAAAATATTTTAATGTGTCTATTTGAAACAAAAAGCAACAACAAATTTTGTATAGACAATTAATTAAAAAATTGTGAAAATTGTGATAGCTCGCATAACCTACTTTTATGAGTAGGGTATGCAAATGAACTTACCCTAGTCATAGACGCATCTAGGGCTAGGGTACGTCTATGCGTATCCTACTTATAAACATGGCTGCTTGCTAACGCTTACTTATCGTGGTGGCACACAACACAGTGCGGTTTGGTAAACTTTGTATTTTACTTAATTAAACTTAATAAATAAAGGTTCAAATTTAAAAACTTGTTATTTAAGAGGCGCTATAGTTTTTTTTTTTTTTTTATGTGAATAGTTGCCAAACGAGCTGACGGTTCACCTGATGTTAAGTGAATACCGCCGCCCATGAACATCTGCTACACCCCAGGGTTTGCAGATGCGTTGACAACCTTTTGGAAATTGGGCTCCGGCTACCTCACTCACCAGACGAAACGCGAAACCGTTTATACCGTATAAAGTCATTATCTGTCCGAATCTTCCCCCACTAACACCACCAACTCGAGGACCACGAAGGCCTTAAACTGACCCCAATTTTGTTGCAACATAACGTCCACAAAACAAACAATATATTGTCTCATAATAAATGGCCGCATATGAATCACAGACCAATATTTTGTAAGCTCACTGTCACGTTTCGAAATTTTAAAAGCTCTGTGAAAAACTCAACTTTGTTTACATATTATAACCGAGGGCCACGCAACAGTTTTCACTGTTGTACGAATGGGCAGGTCCGTCCGGGTAAGTACTACCGGTAAGACTCACAGAAGAACGACATAAAGCAAAAGTGTTACACTTATGCGCTTCGTCTGGTGAGTGAGGTAGCCCACTTCATTTAAAGGTGACAAGGTTATTACTTAACATCAGGTTAACCGCCGGCCCGTTTGCCACTTTTTCACATTAAAAAAATATTATTGAACAAACGATATAGAATTTACGTCTTTCAATATACCAGAGTGATAATATATGTACATGTCTGCTGTAACTAATAAGAGGTGACTTGGGTTCGAGGTTCTTAAGCAACAATGCGTTGACGATGTGTCGGATGACCTCAGGGTCGAGATGGATATACGCGAGATCAGTCTTACCAATCTTTTATTTTTATCATTAATAACAAGATATATATTTAGAAATATATCTTTTATATAGACACTTTGGCTGCCTCTCATCTAAGGGGTACTTCGGTCAGGGCCGGGGCGACATCGGAGGCAGCTGAAGTAAGGAAATGGCGCAAATATGAGTCTTTATGTTCAGATTATGTATTTGTGCCATTTACTGTTGCAACATTAGGTCCGTGGGGTTTCAAAGGTGGGCACATCTAAATTTTTTAAAAGTTTATGTCCTAGGCTTGCTCAAAGGTTAAGCATAACTATTCAGCGAGGAAATGCAGCTAGCGTTCTTGGTACCATGCCGCGTGGATTAGGTTTATTAGATGATATTTAATTTTAGATAGAAATATTAGCTTAAGGGGATATTCTATCCCTTCTTTCGTTCATGCAGGTCATGGAAATGCTAACTTTATTTATACTTAAGTCGTTTGTTTTAGGCATAAGTAATCAATAGAGTTTTAGATATCGCCAGAGTAATAAATAAATATTGCGTAATTTAAATAAAAGAGGCTTTGCTCAAAAACAGATGTAAGATTAAAACGATGTGCGAAAAAAACTTTATATTATTTTTACCAATAAGCAAATTAAGATTTAGCTTATGCATCTCGGAAGCAATGTACAGTTCTATAAATAAAAGCATAAATGACAATGCATGCAAATGAGGACACGATATTGCGATTCTTAAACTAGAAACATTATGCTTATTACATCACATTCTTAATGAATTATAGACATTACAATGTAGAATGAATGAAATTCTTCGATTTACCTACGGGGGTGGAAAAAGGCCTGTAAAGTAAAATATATCTGTCATAATTCATTGAGCTCGAATAGAGCTACTAATTGTAGTATTGGTTACAATTCCTATATATCTTAATACACCGAATGAACGGAAAATACAATCAATATGTTTATTTGTTTCAGACAACGGACATCCGGTTGTTCAATCGCTCTGACCACTGACCGCTTATTATTATTCATAAACAAAAATTATTATGCATAAAGTCAATCATCAATTTTTATTATGAAAATAAATGGTGTAGAACCGGAATGAATAGCAGTTTTCCTGTTTTAAAAATTGCTTGACTAAATATCTCGCATTAGTTTCTAGTTTGCACTAATATCAATGTATTTTGTAAGTTATAATGTGAATACAAAAATAAACTAATGCTCTCAAATCTCTCTAGTTTAAAGTTTTTCTTAAACATTCATAAACAAAACAATCTTGATTATGAAGAAATGGATTAATCTTTTGATTAAAATCTTATCTACGTTTGTTTTTAATATATATACAATACAAACAAAAGTAGATACGACGTCGAGATTATGCACTTATAACAGTAGATAAGACGTCTAGATTATTGCGTACGTGAAGATTAAAAATTAAATAAATATTAAAAGGAAAGTGACAAGTGAGTGAGAGATTGTAAATGCGTATTATAACCTTCAGTCAACTTACAAAAGTATGACTGCTTCCACTTCGTGTCAATCTTCTGTAAACAACGGATGCCAACAACATACAATGCAAGTTGATTAGTAGGTTAGTTCAAAGGAAAACTTCCTAAACGTTTCTCATTTAGGAAGCTTTGGTTTGAATTTAGTGAATTTAGGCGGGTTTTTGAACTGCTTTACGAGTATTTTTTTGAACATTTGGTAACACTGCTGTAAAGAAGTGCTGCTTGCCCGTTTGCGTCGGCTCATTTATTTAGCCACAGAATCCGCTGCGTCTCTTTATCAGGCATCCTATAAGATATTCACAATACCTTAATAAAACGATATTGTGCTGTATTTAAGCCTGGCATTCAATCTTCCCCTTTCGTAAACACGCGATATGTTCACGTAATAACACCGCAAGTTATTACAAAATGCGAAACGAAAATTAATTATTACCTCGGAGCCATCTCAAGAGATAGTGATCGTTGTGCTCTGGTTTCAAAACGTCTCGAACACTCCGACGGAACTGTAACGAAAGATTCTATTAAATCACCTGTGTTAAATAACAAGTTTCTTTTACCAAACTATTTTTTACAAACTATATTTCGGAGATATCTGAAGTTTGCCAATCCGCAGTCGGCTCGCGCGTCGCCCTAATTCTCTGTACAGAGGAGACCGAGCAATGAACATGATTAAGCTGTTACTTCGTTTTTGTTAAATGTAAATAACTTTAACGTTGACGTAATTCAATTGAAATAAATATTTCTTTGTAATTTAGAATAATTTTAGACGATAGGGAAAAATCACTAATGAATTAATTAACAAGCAGAATTAGGCGGTCGCTTATAATTTTCGAAAAAATAAATAATAAAATATGTAGTAACAAAAAATAAATTTTCACTTTAGAAATCCGCCATTTTTTGTTGTCAATATGTCATTTCTGCTCATATTTATGGGTGGTCAAAAAAAAAAATAACGACGAAGGTTAAGGCGCGCCTGAACCTTCTAACCTTACCTATCCGAATCGGATTCGCTCTGAGTCGGTTCTGTGACTCATTAAATTAAAAAAAAGTCGAACTATCGATACGAGTATGTCGTCGCCCGCTTACTATATTTATCATGTCGGCGGCACTGTATATTTGAATTTTTGAAGTCAAATGAATAAAATGGTGGACTTTCTTAATGATTTTTCAAAACAAAATTGTTTTTTTTTTCATATAGATAAGAATAAAGTTCAACTATATACCTACATTGCAAACAAAACAGCTGATATAACCAACTGCAGACATAACAAATTTAGTAGATTATCTATACTGTGCAGCAGAGCAAACGATACCGACCGTAATAGCTTGTTAAATTTATTTTTGCAACATAATTAAAATCAAATTTAAAATGCAAACTAATATTTTACACTTAGTAAAGGTGTATAATAAAATGGTGTATTTTGATAAAACATTTTCTCTGTACAAGCATTTTAATGTTAATCTGTTTCATAATTATGTTTTATGTTAGCCAGACGTCAGAGATAGGCCGTTGCTATGAAACCACATTGACATAATAGTATAATAGTGTACTGCACATGAGAAGTTAAAACTTCAAGACTTCGTATCGCACTTTTACTTTACAATGTTTTTATGTGATGTAAATCCCTTCAATCAGTAATAATCAATTTGTTAATACGGTATTTATTAGACATAAAGAAATCATGGCGGACGGTGACAATGTGTCGACGTTCAGCGCGGAGGGTGGGCAAGATACGGTGGGTCTGCCGCGAATCGTGATGGTCACTGAAGGGTCCGATACTTCGGCCTCGTCCGCCTCCTCGACCACACCGTCGGAGGACAACTGGGCGGACCTCATCAAATCCTCGGAAATACCACCGGAGTACTGGCACATACAAAAACTGGTAAAGTACATGAAGGCCGGGAACCAGACCGCTACGATGGTCGCGCTGTCCTGTTTGAAGGATCACGATCTAACTGTAGAGGTCAACCAAAGGGCGATCCAAGAAATTGGCGGGCTTGAATTACTAGTTAATTTATTAGAAACTAGAGACCTGTGTTGTATCCTAGGCGGCCTAGCCGTTTTAAAAGACATAACTCCTAACATCGAGATAAGAAAAAAGGTGACCGATTTGGGAGCAATACCTTTGCTGGTTGGATTATTATCGGACCCCGCGAAGGACGTACAGATACTGGCGGCTGAGACCATTGCTAACTTAGGCAGAATCCGCAAAAGCAGAAAATTCTGTAGAAAATTTGGTGGTATACCAAAACTGATAGATTTGTTAGATATAAAAGAAAGGTAAATTTTAAAATGGTTAAATAGTAAGTTGCTTTTTTGCTCAAGACTTGTTCGCTAATTTATTTTATTAGATACCTCATAACGCCGCGAGAGGAACTGAACCAAGAGGAGACACAATTTCTTGACATTGCTCGTGCCGGGGCAAAGGCTTTGTGGTCCATGTCATCATCACAGAGGAACCGCGAAGCAATGAGGAAGTTTGGTATGATTCCCTTGATAGCTCGATTGTTGAAGACTGTGCACCTTGACGTCGCTGTGCCTGCAGTCGGGTTGCTGCAAATGTGTGCTAATGAAACCTCTTTCCAGTTGGCAATACAGACCGAAAAAATGGTCAATGATTTGATAAAACATTTGGAAAATGAAGATAAAGATCTCAAGGTAAAATTAATTTAGTGTAATAAATTAATGTAGTTGAACTAACAATGATCAGTTATATTTTTTAGACATACTGCAGTTTGGCGATTTACAAATGTGCCAGCGATCCTATTACCAGAGACATGATACGAGAAGCTGGGGGACTAGAGCTTCTCATAGAGGCCGCCAAAGACACCACTAACAGAGCGAACAAACCGTTAATGGCCGCCGTGACTGGGGCTCTTTGGAAATGTGCGAACAGCGAGGCGAGTGTAAAAAAGTTGGACCACCTTGAAGCCGTCCCAATACTGGTGCGGCTGCTCGATGATGAGAACGACGGAGTGCTGACCAACGTTGCTGGCGCGTTGGCAGAATGTGCTAAGCACCCGCCGAATCGTAATAAAATACGAGCCGCCGGTGGGATTCCAATGCTCAGTAAGTTCAATACATCTTTTTTTTCAACTCAACATCAACAAAACGCTATCACGCCGCTTGCTACGTTCAGTGTCTCCATTTATCTAGACTTAACAGTAGGCTTGTCGAAGAACACCGGTTAAAAATGTGTTTATGAAAGCTGTTTACGGATTCTACCGATTTTATATCTTTCATTATAATTTTCTAGTACACCATCTCAACAACACATACAAGCCGCTGTTGGAGAACGTGCCGCTAGTGCTGACGGAGTGCGCGAAGGAACCGACATGCATGACGGAAATCGACGAACTGGACGGTGTGAGGCTGATCTGGTCTCTGCTGAAGAACGACTCCAAGAGGGTGCAGACGAACGCGGCCCTGGCGCTGAGTCCGTGCGTGCAGAACGCCACGGACTCTGGCGAGATGGTGCGCTCCTTCGTGGGGGCTTTAGAGCTGACGGTGGACCTGCTGGATTCAGACGACCACAACGTACTGTCCGCGGTCTGCGCGGCGATAGCGACGATCGCCAGGGACAACGAGAACCTGGCGGTGATCTCCGACCACGGGGTCGTTGCAAAGCTCTCGAAGTTAGGTATGTGATCGATAACATTTGTTTTAACCCTCTAGAATGTAGTTTGAAACCGAAGAAAAATGTTATTGTGGAACTGTAACCGATCACATGTATTGGTGATCGTGCCGTATTGTTTTCATCTATGAATGAACATCTTAAACTCTTGTTCTTATAAGGTGGTTCGTCGGCAAACACATGTAACGTGGTATATAGCGTTATTAAAAAAACTTTAACTGAGGTTTATTAAAAAAACTGAGGTCAACCACTCTTTTAAAGGTTTGCAAAGCGTCTACCAACGTTACAGGTCTAGCTTCATGGCTAGATCTGTAACGTTTGTAGATTCGTTGATTGCATCATTGCAATGCAAAAGATAGGTAATCGCCTTAACAACCATTGCCGACTACTCACATAAAAATAACAGAAAATTTTACTGTGACAAAACGCGGATGTTTATAAAACATTTTATAGAAACGAGTACATTGATGACATTCGATTTCATTCAAAATATTCGCCATGAGCATAAGAACGCACTGATTGCTTACCGCAACTTATTCAAGCACCGCTATCTAATTTTAGATAAGTACACTTCTTGCAGTCGCCATGATTCAAACATTTTTTTTAACATTACTCAATCTTGGTTGGTTGCTCTATTATGTAATGATTACTTTCTAAACTAAAATGTAAGTTTTTTGTATAGTAGTAAAAAGAGTTAATATTTATTGATAAATGTCAGTCAAATTATTAAGTTATTTCCTTGCCAACGTTTTGTATTATGAAGTTATTATTTTTATTATTATTAATTTATTTCCTTACCAACGTTTTGTATTATCGTATAAAATAATTGGGAATACAATATTTTCTCAATTAATTTTTGGTTCCGTACTGACGATAGCAAATAGTTACGGTTCGGAATGGGTACGCTCCGAACCGAATTAATGACTTAATTCACAGTTTGATGAGTTTAACGACAAACGCACTGTCAAGCAAATTACGGTCATTGTGTATTAATGGACAAGTTTTTACATTCGTTATTACTAAATTGCCTCACGTCACAGTCGTCGTAAAGATAAGTATAGAATTTAAAAAACAAAACTATGTTATTACGTAATTTTTTTTATGTAACAAAGTGGCAAACGAGCTGGCGGTTCACCACCACCCATGGACATTTGCAACACCCGTAGGGTTGCAGAAGCGTTGCCACCTATAAATGAAGCGGGCCGCGGCTACCTCACCTACCAGACGAAACTCAAAAGTATAACACTTCTACTTTACGCCGGTCGTGGTACTTACCCAGACGGACCTGCCCATTCGTGCAACAGTGAACACGTGAACCATTGGGTGGCCCTACAATATATGTATCCTCAAACAGTTAGCACAACGGATGACCATTTACGAGCCAATCTCGGTGTCGCCATCGCATACTGTTGCGACTGGGCGCAGAACCGTCAGGAGTTCGGGAGGCGCGGCGCGATAACGCCCCTCGTCAACTACATGACGTCACGGGACCCCAACGTCCACAGGGCCACAGCGTTGGCCCTCTACCATCTATCTTTCTACTCCATCAATTGCGTCACCATGCATGCCGTAAGTTTATTCTGATTATGCACTACCTTGTGAGGTAAAGTAACAGCCTATAAATGTCCCACAGCTGGGCAAAGGCCTCCTTTACCCAGAGGGTATCAGGTGATAGTCCACTATGCGACCGCACTGCTTGGCGGACTTCAAATAATATCATAAAAATATTTTTTTTATTATTATTTCGAAAATATTTCGAGATTTCCTCACGATGTTTTCTTCACCGCAGAACACATGATAAGCCAGCACTTAAAATTAACGATTTCATTGGTGCCGGCACCTGAGATCGAACTCAGGTTGCTCGAGCATATTGTATTAACGGCGAGCGCCCCGATATTGAGCTATCACGGCATAACCTTGTGATTTAGTTCTATTACTCCCAGACGTAAAAAGAGGGCTGATATAAGTTTGACTTGTTAACTTGTAATTAAAAATAAATAATTTTTAATATAATATAATTTCTATTATTTTGAGTAAACACATAATAACATGTATTTGATGATAATACATTAGATTTTCGTTTAAGATTCATGATGTTTTTAAATATTCAGATTGAAACTATCAAATACGAGGATATCACATTAATAGATTATTTATTATTATGCAATAATGCCGTTATTTGTGACCGTTCATTTGATTATATGGGTGTAGCGTTTCGTAATGTAACTAGTTAATTTTGTACGTTAAGAGATTGTAAGTTTCTTATAAAAGTTGAATGCAATTTTAATGTAAACAGATTAAAAATATCTTTTGTATTTATTTTCATTGTGCTTATGTGAATATTATTTTATTTTTACACAGGCTGGCGTAGTGCAGTTCCTTCTGGAGACTATCGGGTCGAAAGATCCGATTTTGCAGGAGGCCTCGGCCGGATGTCTTTGCAACATACGCAAGCTAGCATTGGCTACTGAGAAAATTCAATTAAAGCAATAACAAATAGGTAGTAATTTCTTAAAATTATTTCTTTTTACTTATACTAAAGGTTTTTTTTTACCTTGGCGTTGATTCTTAGTACAAATATAGTATTGCAATGGGATCATAAATATATTGTTATTCCGAAGCTTTACAAACATTATCATGTGTAATACGACGTTCAATGATAATCGAAGAATACGTTGAATTAATGTAATATTACGATGTTTTGTTGTAAATAAATTGTCTAACTACCAAATTATGTTTATAAAAATTGCCGGCGTTCTGAAATATTAAATGCCCAATTTACCGGAAGACCGATATGAGAAGATTTAATTAAATCGTAACTCTTCCACTGAATTTTGTGGCGCTCTAAATGTGTAAACATGTTTATTTTATTTAGGATTGCCAATATGACACACAGTACTAATAAACCGTAAAGAATATACAAAAATGTTTTATAGCTAACAGTAGGCACACGTAGCTACGACATTCAAAAGACTGTGGTAGGGCCGCGCAAGACTTCGGCTGTTGCGCAAACAGGCAGGTCCGTCTGGGGAAGACCTCACAGAAAACCTACAAGACCTCAAAGAAGACTTTCAAGACCCCACAGAAGACCGGCGTGAAATCGAAGTATTGATGACTGATAATTGTTTTGATGGCTCCGTGGCGCAGTCGCCAAGGTATCGGCTTCGGCGTCGGGGTCGTGGGTTCGATTCCCACACGGGACAACTATTTGTGTGACCCACAGATAGTTGTTCCACATCTCGGTGTTTGTTCGCGTGAAATTTATGTTTGTAAAAATGTCCTTACATCACAGGATAATGTCGCACCGTACGTAGAATAACGTTCTGTGGTCACCTGTGGTCACATAGAACGAATTTGATTTTATCGTCGGAAAGTCTTAATTGTTGTCTACGCTTTCAGATGACATTAATTTTTTTTCGTCTGACTTATAGATATTGAGATTCAGAATAGAAGAACGTTGTATCTGATTTGTGCTCCGCAGTACAAGGACATATGTACGTTTAGACACCGTTTTTTTTGTACCGACTAGACTAAGCTTACTAATGTAGACGAGTGTAAAATACTCTATTAGAGTCAATTGATAATTATTGCACAGTCACCCACTTTTTATGGTTTTTTCGTTGAAAACAGTGCTACATGCGTTTGTAGCATACATATTTTCTGAGTTTTTAGTAGAACAACGAATGTTCCATTGAACAATGTTAAATAAACATGAACATGTGAACTTATGACCCATTCGATTTTGCCATTTTCCGTAGGAAAACGACACTATTACACATGGAACCTCTTATTTCCTAAATTTATATAATTATTAATTCAAAAAGTATACTGTTTGTTAATACACCTAATTGAAATTGTAATAGCAACTGCTATGTTTAAGAAAACTATAACCAAAATAAAAAAATAATAATTTGAAATTGTAATTGATCAGGACGATCAATTACAATTTTGCAGATGCCACGTTGGTCTACGCAGGCCGCAATGTTATCCCAAAGTAAGGGCAATGTTTTTAAATAATAAAATAAGAATAATTATACTTCTACGTTTCGTCTGCAGCCGGGACCCACTTAATTAGAAGGTGGCAACTTGCAATGGAATACCATACGGGTGTTGCATATATGCATGGGGGCGGGGTTTATCACTTAACATCAGGTGAACCGCCATCTCACTTGCCGCCTTCTCCTTGCCACTCTCTCATGTAAACATCCAAAGGAGAACATCCTGATGAGGTACTGAGTATCTTGAGCTTTTAGTTTTCTATTATTATATTCTAATCTTGGGTATTAACGAGCCACTATCTATAAAGATTACATTTCGATCGAGATAATCCATTTCGTAATTAAAGCATGCTTTTATTGCAATAACTATTAAAAATTTTATTGATATTTTCATATTGTTTTGATTAATATTTATGCCATATGTTTTAATAAGTGCTGCCACACTGAGATAATCCGCCAATACACATGACAAAAGGGTAAAAAAAGTCGATTATAAAATTTACAGAAATAATAAAAGTAGGCATTGCAATCATATTTAAAACAGTTTCATACCATTTGCATATTTTGTATTACGTTTTTGCAAATTTTGTATAGGTACATACCGTACATAGTTTGAGAAATTATCTAAGTAGGTACGGTATTTGTCGTTTGTTCACATAGTAGAACAGAGCGACTGGCGAATCATATACAGCGTGTCTTTACCACCGCGACAATAAATGAACACATGTCTAACGCTACTTGCCAATAATCTTAAAAAAATATTAACGTTAAAAAATCCATAATTACAAAAAAATATTTTTCAAGCTCGATTTGAGCCGTGATAGCTCAGTGTCCGGGCGCTCGCCTTAATTCAATATACTCGAGCAACCTGAGTTCGATCCCCGGTGCCGGCACCAATGAAGTTTTTAACTTTAAGTGCTGACTTATCACGTGCTCCGCGGTGAAGGAAAACATCGTGAGGAAAACCTGCATATTTTCGAAATAATAACAAAAAAAAATATATTTCGAATATATGTGAAGTCCGCCAATCCGCAGTGGGGCCGCGTGGTGGACTATGCCCTGATACCTCTGTATAGAAGAGGCCTTTGCCCAGCAGTGGGACATGTATAGGCTGTTACTTTACTTTACTTTTTATTTTTCAACCAATTAATTAAGTAAAAAAGACACAAAATTTGTAACATCCTATACAACTACATCTGACGGATTCATACATTCAGAGTCTTTTTCATTCGTTGCCACAGCGCCGCATTACAAGCCTCTCCCTCTATCAGTATGTTTTGTCTCTTTTAAATTCATTCAACCCATTCATATGCTTTGTGACCTTTACAAATGAACTTTACATTAAAGTTTTATGCGTAAGGGTGTTCTTCTTTGTTTTGGAAAATTTGATAACTCGTTAAATATTGATATACAATTTTAAAAATTTATCCTCTATATGTGTGTTCATTTATTCGCGATGGTAGACACGCTGTATATATTAACGACCTTCAACATTTCCTCGTAAGGTTAATTTTTTTTTAATTCACGATTATAATTGCAATAAACAATTCGACTGATACCAGCATCGAACTTCAAACTCTGATTGCGAATAAACTCACGGTCAAAAACACGGACACAGATGTCGGCACACCCAGCGCTAGAACGAAGAGGTTTGGATTTTCTTCGTAAAGCGTACAGCAGAGTAAGAACAATCCCTTAGCATCCATTTTCCGTTCGAGTGTGGTGTGATTCTTTAAGACATAAGTAGGCCTTCATTGAACTAGTTTAACACGCAATATATTTACGGCAAACCAGTGAACACAAAACGTAAATATCCGAACGAGTAGATGTATTCAAGGTCCTTCACGCTTTGAGCCGATTTTTGCAAATTGCAACCAACTCACGAGTTGAAACGGTTGCGTCCCCTCCCAGCCGCGTTGACTTGACCTTGGCGTTTGCTTTTGCAACACATTGTATAAAATTAGCACCGAGCGTTTGTGAAACACCGAGGCGTTTTATCTCCGCTCAATGCCTTTAGCAACCGTCTTCCTCTTCTAAATAAAAAATAAATTGCGTCAATAAGGACGAAAATAAAAATTCGCGGATTAGACAAATAGAAACAAGAATGTTCTTTTTTTGAAATATCAATTTCTGTATGTAGTACTCATTTCACCATTTAGATAAAAATCTATTTAAACTTCTTCCTTTTGTTAGCAATGGCCACTTTTATGTTGACAATAAATGAAACAGGCCATTAGGAAGTATTGATAATTTTCTGAACGTAACTAGCTCTACCTTTTTTATTCAATGAGGCTATTTCAACCTAATAGCTCTACCTTTCTTTGTAAATATTGGAATAAAGCCAGTATATAGTAAATAATTTAATGACACATCATGTTCTGATTACTAGATAAATTAGAGACCATTAGAAAGTATATTACATACTAAGATTTTACTGCACTCTCGCACGCAACGCAACTTCGATGTCTGTGGTCAAAATGGCGTCCAACCGCGATTTTATTGCGCCATATCGCTTACAAGCGGAATACTGCGTCGCTTGTAAGCGATATCTGCGTATGAACTAAGAAGATGCAGAACAAAAATATACTTTGTGAAAACAACAACCGGACCATTTTGATAAAATGAAGTTCTTTGTACTTTTTGTTAATATTATTCTAGTGCTGCAAATGACTAGTCTTTCTATGTGGAAAGGACTATTAGAAAAACTAGTAAAGCTTAACAGTGGTAGGATTACCACTGTTAAGCTTTACTAGTTTTTCTTTATACCTTAATACTTTTTACCTTAATAGTTTTGGCTGTTGCACGAGTGGGCAGGCAACCCACCACCCACGTGCAACACCTCACAGAAGACTAGCGTGAAGTGGAAGAGTAATAGGTACTCCTGCGTTCTGTCTGGTGAATAAGGTAGCCAGTGCCTTTTTTTTTCGTGGTAAAAATCCTATGGATCCCCTGCCACTGGATCGGGGGAGTGGCAGAGTATGTGGGAGTCCCGGCGACGCGTACCCACTAAAAAAGCCCACTTTTCGGCCACCACTATCGCATCGGCCGGGGACACGGGAATACGTAGGCACAATCTTCCGCGACCCCGGCGCGACTATTGCCTTTTTGGGCCTCCCCTTCTAAATGCCGGTGCAATTGACACAGCACCCATCACGAGGCCCAAGGTAGCCGGTGCCTACTTTATTAAAAGGTGGCTACGCATCTGCAACGTGTTGCAAACATCAACGGGTGGCAGTTATCACAACATCAGGTGAAGCCCTCGCTCGCTTGCCACATTCACACTTAAAAAAATATCCGAAAAATTTTAAAACCGCATAGAACAGCATCCTACATTCATTAGAGAATTCTTTAACACACAAAGTTAAATGCAAGCACCAACACTGTGAGATTTCAAGATGCTTCATTAAAAAAAAAGTATGTCAGTACTTATGTACGCACGTGAGAAGTTCTTATACTTCGTGAATACTTCTTTAGCGTACTCATTTTTTGGGA